CTCTTGCAGTTTTTGTGAAACTCTTAACCACTTGAGATTCCATGCATTTATTGTTAGTATGATTTTCTTACGAGGAAGTGCTGCAAAAACCCGGCTATTAATTCTTTATTCATAGTGTTCGAATCGGTCAGACTAGTGCACATTTACTTACATTTTCTTAAGATACCGCAAGTGCAGTTTAAAGGGCCAAGATAAATTTTTTCACGCTAAATTTGTAAGCTGCTTACTCATAAGTGTTTCTAATTGTCATATCTTGCTCACACACGAGCACTGCTAGTATTTGCCCTTATTTGCAGGTGATATTTTCCTTTTAAACATTATTTATAGTAATAAGTGTCGCAAATAAAGTCTGAATATCATATTTACAAGTGAACATTGCTTCTTTTGCTTTTTTGCACCTTTATCGATGTCTTGAAATGTTAATGTTTGTACTAGTAATGTGTTTAATACGAAGACTATTTTGAGGTGGTGTTCCTCTGTTTACCTTCACGAAGAGAAAGTGCTTCTTTCCACCGATTACAGCTGTGGAGATCTGACTTATTGTTGAAAATCATTCAAAGGCCAGAACAATTCAGTTCTTAACTTTTGATTTTTTTTTTCACTTCTGCTGCCTAATGTGGCACAGTCTAGTCCGCGTATAGGTTGTTTTTTAAAAGTTCTTTGCTATCTTTTCAACTCATCAGTCCGTATTTCGAAATAAAAATCCAGCTGCCAAGATGCTAAACTCCATCTAGACAAAACATTTGTACCGAGAAAAAGAGTATTCAAGACTGCTGACTCTGTTGCTTCAGGTGTTTTTATTGTTCGGCAGTTCTTAAAACATCAAACGACAAGCGATTTTAAACCTGCTCCGTGCAGGTGCGAAATAATTTGTGGCAATTTTCATACGTTTAGCAAAGTATGGTCTAGATTTGACAGTATTGGCACCTTTATAGGGACATACGACATCTGATGAGCCCTGCGGCACCAGAAACACAAGAAAACGGAGCTAGAACAGTGATATTAAGCAATTTTAATTTGTATGAAAAATGAACTGTCCATCTCAATTTACCACTGGCCAGCTAGCTGACATTTTTTTATCCTTTGCGGAAAAGATCCTTCCAAGCCTAAAACGTGTTCTCAAAGACAAACCCTAAAGATACGTAATTTATATTTGCATTTATTTGAAGACTGTCATCTGTTGAAGTGAGTGAAACAGACTATGTGTGTTTTGGCAAGTGTGGCGTAGATTCAGAGACGGAGCAATGCTTTTTTGTTTAACGATTCGTTTGTTTTTGTTTCTCATCCAATGCGTGGGCCCTATAGAGAGGAAATTATGTGTGGTGCGAAAACAAACCTTGCAGAAATGCATTTACAAAATATATCTTAAGACTGATTTGTTTCCACTCAGTAAAATATAAATCAAAAGGAAAACTGATTGAAGTGAGGAGGAACTCATTTCTAAGTTTTCTTAAACGCTCTTCTGTCATGTACATTTTCACACTTTATTTTCGACCCAAGGTGTTTGAGGGCTCGGGTTTGAATTAGAGACTACTTTTCAGAAGCTTTTTAATAAAATGTACTGATTGATTTATATTTGAGATGGAGGATGAGGCAAAATTAGATTTAAAAGGATTATTATTTGAATGAAGGTACGTATGGAGGCTAGTTTCTCTCTTTTCATCCTCTCCTGATATTTTGGCAAAAAATAAGAACAGCAATAACGTTTTGTTTATGAATACTTTTTTTTTTTAAGAATTAAATGCGTGATTAGCACATTGATTAAACACTTCTGAAAAATTGACCAAAACAACTTTAAGCTGTCGATCGATGACCATCATTATGAACTAGCTTCTCCTGTTGTCTCGTTGGGAGTTTTTGGTAAGTTATGAATAAAAATTGCTCTTTGTAAAATGTATTTGTCTAATGTTGTTGTGGAGCACACTATATTCCGTAACGGTTTCAGCTAAATGAACATATTACAATCTGAGAGAGGTTGTGGAATGAACTGAACCTCTGCCCAGATAAAGCTAAAAGCAATCTTCGAACTCCGACGATAGATTTTCAAGTAGGGAAATGAAGATGATATCTCCTCTTTGAGATAAATCCAGCTCTTAATTCAACAAGCTTTAATATTACCTTACATCAAGGGCGATCTTGTTACGATAATATATGTTAGAAAACTGAAAGATTGATATTGCTCATCGATGGAAAATTGAGTCCTAGAATATATTATATACAGCCCTTACAGAGAAATGGTCGTGTTTCCATCTCAGTCAGTACTAACAATATTCTGATATGTAACAAATTAAAATGTCAAGAGCGGTCTACAAATCGCATAAAACTCTACATAGAACCTGCGACAAAATCAATATTGGTTTTATTTAATACTATGACATGAATTTATTTCAGTTGCCAAGATTTGTAGCTTGTAAGATTGACCATTAGTCTATGTTTTGAAATGATTAAGATATCAAAATTTTCATAAAATTTAAGAAAATGAGATTGTAAGTTAATATCTGCAGATATATTTCAGATGACTTGTCAACCGCCAGTTTTAAGTACACTTGCCAAGAACAAATAAATTATGTCATTGTCATCTTGTTCGGAAATTTGATTTTTCAAAAAGAACATGCAGGATTCAATATGCTAGAGTGGAAATACTGTGCGATGTGCCCTGAAAATGGCAGCATTTTTATGAGAAGTAATCTCAAAATCTTTTGCCGCAATATGTTCGTACCGCTTGCCATGAAAGACGCGTTTGCGTGATAAGTTAGGTGTCTCTCTTGTCAAAAACACATTTATGTTGTCGAAGCAACCTTTTCGACGTAAGCCTAATCTTGCAGATCAATGAAGATGCCCCTCGTCGATAACTTTTCTCTTAGCAACTATGTTACACATTTGTGTACGACTCATATTTCGCGCGCCACTGTCATCTCGCATTGCGGGGTATCTTGAAGTCTTTCTAGCGTCGGTTATTGTGCTTTCAATATGCAAAGACTCTCGCATATTGATATGTCTTATTATGGTACTTAAATGTCGAATTTAATGCGTGTCTAAAGAGTTTCAAGTTCATCAGTTGGGAATTTTTCTCAAGTGCGGTTATTTTTCAAGCGCGTGTGCACGACCTTTTTTTTCTTCAATAATTGTTTCGAATCACGATCAATTACGTTATAAGTAGACTGAAATTCTTAAAGGGAAGTTCTGCCCTTTCCCAACCTAATTTAATGAAAAGTATTAGGTTTCTTGTGACAAATGCGCGAGAGATTTTAGTGATAATTGTGTAAAATTTCTGACAAAAAGCGCCAAGGTTATGACTTAAACGCGGGAATTTCGACGCTTTTTAATTTTTTTTTTTTTAATTTAAAAGCTGGCAAAGCTACTATGAAACCCTCAAAATGATTCTTACGTTTTCTTGATGGGTTCTAAATGCATTTAAATTTTTATTAATGTAAGGTAAAGTGTTTTGTCGCCAGGTATAAGGAACGTGACTGTTCTGTGTCATAAAAGTTTTTGGTTTAATTGATTTTTGCTTTGATTTTCCTGAATCGGTTGTTGAAGAGTTGATGTATTTTCCAAAATTTGTTGACTTTCTTTCTTCGTTTTCTGTTTTGAAGAGATTCCTGTTTATAAGTTGTGTTCTTCGCTGCGAAATTGAGTAAGAAAAGGGGGCTCTTTCATCGCCGGGTGGCCAAACAGTTCTACGGCGCTGATAGATTCATTTGCTTTTTTCAAGTCCTTGGCGTTTCCCGAATTTTTTAGCACTGTGAAGGATGAAGCACCTCACAGCCGTGCATCTCCTGTCATCGAATTTACGATAAAAAGCTGTGAAAATAAAAGGTATTTTGTTTTAGTGAGAAGAAAGAGTGTTTAAGCGATTTGTAAGTGCTTGGAAGTAGGCCGTTAACATATAACTTACCTCCTCCTGTTTTTAAAGGGCTACCGAAAACAAACCAATATGAATATCTAATCGGCTTTTTTTTTTTATTTCGATCAACATTTGGTAGGTGATGCTAAGTGCTTCACTGATGTAGTCTAAGTTTCCTTGAGGTTAATAAAGAAAAACAAGAACATTTTTTCAAATACTTTTTAACCGTATTTACTTAAGGCTTCACAAATTTCTGCTTTTAAAACCAACAAGAAATGAAAAACGTATACAATCCAAGAGCTCGCTGGGCAAATGTTTACAATTCAGAACAACTTAAATCTACGAAATAATTTAATCACAAAAATACCATTCGAGCCTTTTTAGGGTGAGCGAGTTCAACCAAGGTTGAATCTTTTTCAACTGAATAACTTGTGAAAACCAAGAACTGTAACCTATATTCAACCTAGTTTGCGTTTTAAATTTCGAATTGTAACGTACACAAATTACCTACTGGGAAATGTACCCGAAATCATCTAAAACGAATAACAGCTTTCATTTCAAACATACTGATCTTTATATACAATATTTCATTCAAGGTTTGGCCTTCAATTTGCCTATTATTTCTCTCTAGGGATATAATCATTTTTAGCCCGATAAAAATAGTTTTTACATACCGAGTTGTGGGCGACATTAAAGCGGGCTATTTGTTCAAACATTTACTGCGAGTAATATGTAGTTTCCTTTACCTCAATAAGTTGTCTTCCTTTTCAGTGTTTTAAAATAAGTCATTTCATAGTTAAAATAGGCCTCTGAAACTATCCCTTTTCGTTTAACAACGGCTGTGCTTTTCGAGTCATTTCGCGACGAAATAAACAAGACACTTTATCAACCATTCAGTTTTTAACAGGAACCGATTTAAAACTGACACTTTCATGCTATGCTACTTAACTCAAGGCTTTGTCTCCTCTGAATGTTTCTTTGAGTGTGAAGACCTGAGCGACCGTCTAAGTAGCATTAGAAACCTTCGGCTGTTTGACTAAAAGTCCTCGTGGGCTATTACTGCTTTTAATAGATTTCAAGTATTCCAAGTGTCTCCTTACACTTTGTAGCAGTGTTTGATGGCGTAAACAGCTCTGAACAGCTTGGAACACGGTCACCGAAACAGTGCCTGCGGTATAACTGCAGTGGATACTGGAACTGCGCCGTAAAACGAAGCAAGTTCTCCTGTGTGGTAAAACTGTTGTCCAAGCCTTGCTATCTCATATTCCTTCATACGCTCGTGATGAGAACAAGGTTTGGCGAAATACGGGGCTGGCAAAGTAGCAGACCAAAGATTTCCTTGATAGCCGGCTGCCAGTGAGGAGGCGGGAGGTGTATTCATGCAGGATGGACAAGTTGGTAGAGAGGGAATAGGGGCCGTCATTGTCGAGCACGACTGAGCGCTTTTGATGTCTGATCCAATGAGGTTCTCTATGTTAAAAGGGTGCTTGAAGCCTGATTGAGTGACATCGACTGGCGAGATGCAGCGAGCAGGATTGTCACTCGTCATAAGCACTCTGCCGTTATGCGGTTCTTTAGCCTCATCTGTGATCAGCTTTGCAAGTTTACTGGTCCTCTCCCTCTCGGATTTGAAGCGTTTTCTGCGGCGCAAGAAGCTGCCATTCTCAAACATTGCTCCGCAATCTGGGTGAAGAGCCCAGAGGCTTCCCTTGCCGGGCTGATCTGGTCTTCTAGGAATCTTTAGAAAGCAGTCGTTGAAACTGAGATTGTGTCGCAGCGAGTTCTGCCAGCGTTGCGTATTTTCCCTGTAAAAAGGAAAGTGATCCATGATGAATTGATAAATCTCACTGAGCGATAGCATTTTCTGCGGTGAGCTCTGGATAGCCATGGCTGTCAGCGAAATGTAGGAGTACGGCGGCTTTGCACTGCCGTAGCTGTTTCTCAGAGGTCTTGGCATGTTTTGATTCACTCAGACGTCGAGAGCTTCTTAATCTTTTAAACAACTTGACGCGTTTGAAGTAAACCCCGAGACAGATGTGGGGTTTTTTTACGCTGCTCCAATGTGTACTTAAGCTATCGAAATAAATGGCGTTTGCTAAACACACCGACAAACTTCAAAAATTTCTTTTGTTTGTCGCCGATTCGAAGCCTCACCGTGCTCTGAGTTTCGATGTCACTCAATGTTTATACAACAGGTCGGCAGGCCGAAGATTTCTATTAAATACAGAATACCTAATTAGCACATGCCTATCAAACCGAAACTTATCCAAATTACTCGTTAATTTTCTTATTGAAGTTTGGCCCACAACAAAAGGCCGGCTTTTATAATGGTTTAAATAAAATATTCAAATTTGTCTTGAACTTTCTCACGTGTCATCGGGCATTGCTCCCCACAAAGGCACCGTCCGCTCTTCTAACGCGGACAGGAAGTTTGACATTCGGCGGCCTGGTGAAGTAATAAAACCTCGTAACACGGGCTGCTAACTCCATTTTGTTTATACCCGCCGCTTTGCGGTCGCGCTGCATTGTTGACAAGGCTAATTAAAAAAGAGAGAACATTGTAAGTATTAAACTTGTTACTCAAACACCGATGGAAAGGCCTACCACTTCATCGTTTACAAACAGTCCAGAGCTTTCGTCTATATAGAACGTCTATCTCAGTTTCAATTTGCCCCTCAGCTTTCCGGACGCAGATTACCGCTAAGATCTTTTCCTTCAGGCAATCCGCGCTTGTTGTCTGATTCTTGTAGCCGGACCTTTATCTCGGGACTGTTGTTCTGAGAAAAATTGAGCACCAGTAATAAAGTGAATGATAACTTTTTGTGTTATTACTTTTTTCATATTAGCGTTCAATAAATTGCGAACTCATTTTCTTCCAGCGCAAAGACATGGCCCTATAAAGTTTATTAAAGTTTTCCCTAGGCCATTTCGGGCATACTTAATAATTTGGAAGGCGGGTTTCGCAAAGAACCTGGCCGAAATTAAACTAATTTTGTAAGTTTAAAAATAGGACAATACTCCTTGGTTTCCTAAAGCTATGGCTTTCCTAACACAATAATCTGAACCTTATCACGATTAAGAATGACCCTTTACGTTCTCAACTCGCAATCTTCTGATTGTGAAATATTTAGGTAATTGTAATACTTTTATTTTGTTAAGGTCTTGTAACAATTATCGTAACAAAAGGATCGAAGCAGCATAACACACGAGAAAAAACGACAGCGGTTTCTTGTCAATAGTTAGGCGTTTTTTATCTTTTCTTCAAAGATGACCAAACCTGTCATTAAAAATGGCGTTGTGCTAGCGTAAATATTTTGGATAAAATCTCCGCAAAGAAACGTACATAATCACTTTAATATCTTATGTCAATTTTAAATGTCAACATATTTGCTGATTTTTCAAGGTAGTTTTGTGTTTATCTTGAATTCACTTGCACGCAGCGCATTCAATTTAACGACTTTGTCGCGGAATGGAGAGTAAAATGGAAGAAACGGAGGCGCTCGGAAATTAAAAAAAGCCAACGAACATTGTCACAACATACCGCGGTGTGCTTCTTGGACGTGATATTAAAAGTCGTGGCTTTTAATTCGGGTTACTCCTTAGTAATCAATGGCCTTGTTGTATAAAAAAAAACCTCTTGAATTTGCCGACAATTTCATCTTTATTCTGCAGGTGCCGTGGACTATGAAAAACCGAATGAAAAGAACTATTACTAAGGCCATCGAACGAGGCATATTAGATGTTAAGAATTAAAAAGTAAACAATGCTTTTTTCATCGATCAGGCTTATTGTTTTGTGAGAGCGAAATGCCTTTGTTTTGACAGAAAATCAATAGTGCTTTAAGATAGAGATTCGCCATTAATGAATAGAACTCATAAAACGCGCTCACAATGCAAAGAATACTGCGCGACTTATGTAAACACCCTTTTACTTACATATTAAAAAATATGAATAGAATAAACACATTTATTTCACCTTCAAACGCCAACCAATTTATCATATTGTAGAAAACTGAAATCGAAAACGTTTTGATTAATAACATAAACGTTGCTACATTAGTTACGGAGGAAAAAAAAATCTTTGATTCTTCGAGGCAACGCGCTTTCAGGGGTCAACATGGAAAGTCTAAACATCTTGAAAACTCTCGAAATAGAACACAAATATAAACAACGAAACCATGACATTTTAAAACGATTCTTGTGGGAATGCCTTTTGTAAACTTCTTCTATTTTTCAATCTCCTATGGACTTTGTTTGATTACTGCTCCGACCAAACACAATAGTAGGGATTCTAAATTCAAAAAACAATTTTAATGCAATGATATACTGAATGACCTGGTTCGATTATTGAGGTCTAAATTCATTCTGATCAGAGGAACTTTGCCAGTTCGGGAAAAACGTCCGGAGGTGTGAAGGGAGCTAAAATGCAACAATAAATTCTAAAACCGAAACATTTTATTGTACAATCCATCTATTCTGTTAAGAGGGTTGTATATCGTCTTCTGTCCTTTCAGTCTTGTCGTCAAAAATTCAGTTACCTAAAGTGTTCGCCATGTTTCAAATTCACCAAATTCGTTCACCGCAGAATTTGGCACTCAAGAAACTGATAATAAAAATATCTAGGAGCTGACTTCATTGCCTTTTATTGTGTTTGCCTATATATCGGCCGTACTTTTTGTAATTATGTCAGAGGTGCATTGTTCCAACAATTCCCCTCTCAACGACACTTGTACTATTTTAAGAGTTTTCAAGAGTCTAGTTAATCTTAGAATTTCGACCGTTAGAAAATGCACTCAGAGTAAGAGCTCTTTTTTTGCTTTAGTCCGTGTTTCATATCATTTGTTCCTGTTATGAGAAGAGCATATAACTAATGTTGATATTTTAATAGACAGTTGTCTTTTTTTGCTTTTATTTAGGCCCCCAAGTTGACTTAAATTTTGCCAACACGATTTTCCGTTCTTCAAAACGCTATTTGTTTTGTTTTTGATATTCGGTCTCGGACGTGACAAGAAGATGCAAGTATAAATCAAGTGCTATTTGACCCATCAGGGGAGGCAATGGTGGTTTAATTTGAAGGAACTAATCTCTTACGGAGATTACATTTTGAAACTATTCCTCGCTTTCATCAATTTAGCGCGGTAGGCGAGCTAATGTTTCCTTTACAAATTTCATAATTGCGGTGTGTTTATCTTTCTCTCTCTATGAGTTTCTTTTAAACATTACAAACTCAAAGATTGAACAGTTTAATTCGCTCGGACACGAAATTCTGAAAATTTTTACACTGATTAAAAGATGATAAAATTGATCAAATTTGTAGCAAAAGAATAGTTTAGAACTGTAAAATGCTTCCCGAAAGAAACACAGAAGAAAAGAATCGAGACCAGACTTGGAAGAGCAAAAGTGAACAAGTTTTGAATGGATGTATTCGGTTTTATTTGCGACGTGAATAAGCTAATGTTTTTCGATTCAATCTTGATCTACAATATAGCTGTATAGAATAAAGTTGTATTGTACGTGTGGTGCTGTTGTGGGATCTGATGAAAAAATAATGCACGATACTCGGGAAGCATTGTATGTTGAGGCCGCAAAAGTGCGCGGCAATGCCGCCATGGTATTTGAGAAAGGTCTTTTCCATCTAGAACGAAAATGACTAATTTGAAAATGAAAGCCACTGACGTAGAGCCATGCGCTGCCATGTAAAACTTCCAGGAAGCCATGATCATTTGTTTCCCCACAGTAATAATTTTGCGCGATAGAAAAGCGTTTTCATCTGCTAAACCCTTCGTGAATGTAACTAAAATATATATAAGATACCGTCACCTCTCTTATTTTACACTCTTCACTCTTACGAATGGTCAAGAAATATTTTCTCTTTTCAAACTCAATACTTTTAAACTGAAAGCCGGCAGACTATGAAAGTAGAGAAAGCTATTACTTCGGTAAATTGCCTCGTTAGAGTCTCCAAACCAACAGAAGAAAACCTGTATGAAAAACGGTAGGGAGAAGAAACAGCCAGATCAACGACGTGGCGCCTCCACAACAGAACTTTTAATTAAATAACACATCCTTCTCGTTATGTAGTCCTTCCTCTCCCCGACAAGGGCCTTTACAATGTTAATTTCAACTTAAATTCGTTTTCAACGCGTATTTTTCTGGGAGGGGGGGGAGTTTTGCGGGCCAGGATTTTATATCAGTGGTGAAAGCTTCCATGATTTACAGGTGAGGCTATGTTACAGATCTCGTTAGTACGGAAAATTAACAACATTAGCTAATGAAAATGTTAGCTACAAATTGTGCAGTTTTTCGCTGATGTATAAAAGCAGATCTAAAGATCGATGAACATTCTTGTAGAGAAGAATGAAAGAGGTGGATTTTTCTCATTGCCAACTTTTAAATTCTCCAAGAAAAACCACACTCTTTACTGCGGGATTAGAGAGCAAGTTCTGCTCCTTCTACCGTTTGGCACAAAAAATGAATTAGGCTTAGAACTGCTATTTCACAGAAATGTTAGTTATTGAATGAGGAGGTTGCTTTACTGCTTTTAAAGGATACCTTCTACTTTGAAATATATCAAAAACGCGAAAAAATGTACGCGCCAAATAGTTGCAAGATCATGATTAGATTGGATGATATAAAATGTTTTTCACAATACTTTTTGACTTACAAATTCTTGATTCCAAAAGTTATTTCAATCTATCCTCTCAATTCAATTAATTGCGGCTAGTGACAACCAAAAAGCTCGTTCGCGTACGTACTCTGTGTCCGCGTCGAACGTTTAAGGCAATTATTGCCCTGTTAAACGAACCGTTTAAGTTAAATAAAGTTCTTTGTAGACAGAACATGCGTACGATCAAACAAGTTTTTTTTGCTGTTCCAGCTCAATTGGCTTTTAAGACAGTCACGTTTCTTGCTTGTAGCGGTTTTCCGTCGGGTTTGTTTTCTTTAAAGTAAGGAAGTAATCTACAAAACCACTAATGCCATCTTTAAAGTAAGGAAGTAATCTACAAAACCACTAATGTGATAAACAAAAAGATACGCTGCAAATGGGTCAACAGCCGATCACGCGATTTGGATATAACTTTAGCCTTGCGCACGAAGCGTGTGCACGATCTAAATTTTTGAGTGACTGTTTACAGGGACTCCACATCACGTGGAGTATGTCAGTCTAAGGCATCCATACGAATGAACTTTCGATAAGGGAATGCAATGACCTATACTACAGATTGAACCTGCGACTCACCTATTCAAAGTGTTCAAAGAACGTATTACGACTGTATTTCCCATAACTCGAGACGAAATCTTGTCTACTCGCAGTTTCTTGACTCCGAGGAGCCATTTCAGTAAGATGAGTGCTGGTTGAAATCAGCTACACTAATCAGTCATTTAGCTTGCTGTAACAGTTTAAACTGTTCCACCCTCTTTGTTTTACGAGAATCTTTTCTCTTCTTCTTGATGTAGGAAAAAATCATTGGCAATGAAACATTGAAGACTGTCTGTTCCAAAGTCACTCAACACATTCTTTTACTTTGCTCGAAAGCCTACATCATTAAAAACGTTTGCACTCATCAAGAATGGGTAAAACTTCAGTTGCTTCTGATAACAGCGGTTTGGCCAGTCGTGATAAGTCAGATAAGTTTTGAGATGTAAATGGGATTAGATTAGTCGAGATAAAATAAATTTCTCGCGGATTGGCTCATCGTATCTGCTTTGCGAGCGTGGTGACCTATTTTGTTGTTGTTGCGGCATTTTTCAAAGTAGTGATTGGTTGGAAACACTCAGGGAAAGTCTAGAACAATGTATATCGACAACTTTTATTTCTAATGAATCACCTTTAAGCAACTTTATCGGCTTTATAGAGCATTCATCAATTGAGTGTCAAAAGTGAGTGTTTACTTGCTTTATGATTGGTCCAGAAAACTCGCGCCGTTCTCTTAACCAATCAGTTACAAAATTTAAACCAATCACGTCTTGGTCGCCAGCGTTTCCCGCGCTTTGGCCAGTTTGGTTATTACTTTGATTTCTCAGTGGTCCCGTTAAGGGGCATTTTCCTTTCTTTCTTTTGATTGGCTGTTGAGATTACTTCGGCATTTTTATAACGACACTCAATCGAAAAGCGCTCTATGCGCACAAAGATACATCAGACTCGCAAAAAAAAACCCATAAATTAGCATGGAATGGAATTCCTTCATTAAATAATAGGTACGTATATGTCAGCCCTTAAATATTAGTGAATTTTATCCTACATAAAATATGACTGGCTATATATCTAACATTTCTGTATTTAGTCATGGCTACAAAATTATGGAGGAATTTAGTATATAAATAAAAACTATGGCGGTACCGGACCTTGCCTACTAAAACCTCGATTTTAAGAATCTTTTATGATAAATATATCACTATCAACGGAAACTGGGAGGCAATGTCTTTATACACTTTTAAATCAGACCGTTTGGTCCAAACTTTACGTGAACTAAGTTGCAATTGGATATCATGGTTTCTTATATTCTAGAAAAACTGTAATTTTCTTTTACGAAGCATGTGAGTCAGCGTGGAGATGAATTAATACACGTTGTTCTATATAAAATGAATCGTAACAAAGATGTTTTGGTAAAAATAGTTGTCCTAAATGCCAGCATCAGATACTCGCATAAAACTCAATTTCACTAGAGGCAGTTTCGTATTATCTCCTTAGCACAGTGTGAGCGAAATGTATTTTTCTTAAAAAACTTCGTCTTTTACACCGGCTGCGTGAGAGCGCTGGCTAGCTCTGTTGGTATTGGGGGCTCATGAGTGTGCGAAATCACTCTGTCTAGAAAAAAGCAATAATTTATGATAAAAAACAAATAAGCTTGGTATCCCCTCTTTAATGTTGACTAGGCGCTTTTTTAGGACTTCTCTGCTGGAAAATACTTCCTACTTCCCCAAAGGTTTGCAGTAAGCGGCTCTTTCAACTGAGGAATGCAGTTTTAAGAGCGCGTATTCAAGCGAAAATGATATTTTTTGTATAACCGTTCGTTGTTTTATGGAAACGAGGGAACGGAATTCAGAAGACAAATCTCTCAACTCTTCCTATGTACTGTCTTTCGATAGCTACCGATGTTTGATGTGGAATTCAAGTCAACTTGACTGTTGATAGACTAATGTCGCCAGTGCGCCAAACCCCACCGCAGCCAGACACAGTTTTTTCCACCACGACCTGTCTCTTTCGTCATATGCCTCGCTAAAGATCTGGTTAAACGCCTCCTGTTTAGAAAAATATTGAAAAAAATAACAGATTTGTTAAGGCTTCGAGTTGCTTTCAGTAGTCTCAAAGCACTCGGCAAATTTTTCACAACCAAAACTCTGAGAGTGTGGGTCAGAGAGTACTCTGCGCGTGGACAATTTATTTTTGGTTACATTTAACTTGAATCAGTTTTGAGTTTGAAAGGTTTGGCGTCTATTTCTAATTGCTTCTAGCTATTTTTTAAAATTACTTTTGTTATTATTAATTGTGAATAGGTCACTCGTTTTCATTTATCTTTTCCCTTTTTTAAGATGATAATGATTCTTATTAAGCTATAATGTCAAAAATACTATTTTTCTTTAGCAAGAATATGTGTTTAGGATCTGGATTGAAGTTTTATTATCATCATTGTTGTGTTTTTCCTTTAGTTGTTTCGGGTAATAGCCAGTTTCAAAATGGTGGCGGTCCCAATTTGAAAACAAGAGACTCCTTGGGTCAAGGCTTAGCTTCGCCGTAATCACGAGTATTTCTCATCAGAAAGGAATATATTATTGTGCCCAAAAAGAATTAAACCTTGGCCTTAGTTTACGTCACAAAAGATGATTCTGTCTTTTGGTTTTGTGGGTTAACCAAATTTTGGCCAAGTTACAAAGGGATTGCGAAATCCATGTCATGGCTTTGTTTCACGTTTTATCATTTCAACCACAGGAACTGTGTCATCAACCTTTTTTTCTTTAAATTTTACCGAATTTAACGAAAACACTATCCTTTAATCAGGAGAGTTCACTATTTTTCATTTTTTCTACCGGAGTCTACTTATAAAATATAAAGTATATACGTGACAGTTAACAAGGCATCACAGGACGTTTTTCTTAGGCCGCTTAATAATTTATTAGCGTAGAATCAATCGATTTCTATGCGTTATCAATTCTTAACTCGCAAATTACATGGTTCTGGTCAGTTTTTAAAGAAATTTAGATCTTAGTCATAAGATACTCAGTGTCCAATAGTTTTGGAAATCTAGGATGAAAGAAAGTTATCGTGCTCGCGGTTTTGTTGGGTGGCGTCCGAAGAACTAAGATGATTTTCTCCGGCAAACTAATCATAGGATAACCCTTGTTGTTTTCTTGTATTCATTGTATTTCATTGTATTTCTTGTATTCATTCTAGTTCTCAGGGGGCGGGGAGGGGAGAGTGGAAGGCGGGTGAAGGGCGTTATAAACATGAATTCCCTCTCGCTTAAACACAGTTTGATAATCCCGTCTAGGGCTTAATCCTGAGTCCCCCGTTTCGGAGTCCAGTCCGGTGCAATACTATCATATCTTTATCTCTGGGTCCAAAAGCATATTAAAACTTCTTGTAGAAACTAGTCGACTAATTTCGCTGCTTGACAACCATTTTACGGCAAAGTAAAATCTGTCGAATATCTTTTGAAAATGCGCCAAAACTGATGTTAGATTCAGAATGTAAATTGTGAGTTCAATTCAAACATTTGTCAAATTGGGTTGGTACATCCTACAACGAAAACTAATATATTCATTAGCATTAGTTGTAATTATCAATCCTCGTTAGTTTTTAGTTTTTATGTATTTTTGGGACGTGCTGGGGGGTGTCGAACATATCCACACCCTGTTGATCCTTCTATCAAAGATTTCGTTCACTTTTCTTTTTTTTTCTTCTTTTTTTTTGCATAATCAGCAAATTTTTGTGTTGCAATACATTTTGAATATTTTGTTGGGTAATTTATTCTTAGTTCAAGGTCATTTTACACTACAAGAAATGTTTTATCTGTATAAAACACTTATTTCACTTATTCAATCGCTGAGGCGTGCCTTATATCACATCCAATGTGTTGTTTTGTGGACAGGAGGGTAGATATCATTTTCGTGATACTGCGTGTTAAACTACACCGCGTTAATAAATTCTTCGTCAATGGTTATCGCATATTCAATGCACGTAACAGCTCACGGAATGACTCATGACTGTGAAGTAGGCACGAAAACGCCAGTCAATATTTACACAGATTGGCTCACCCGTGAGATAATTTTAACGTTTTAACTGGCTAAGTTTTAGTCTGTAATGTCTTTGAAAATAGTTTTTATTTACTAAACGAATAGTGCCAATATCAGATTTCTTAATAGGATCCAGTCATGATTCTTAAATACACGTTTCGCCTTGAACAATAGGTCGATAATCTCTAAATAGGGAATTTTCATTGGTCTTTAGAACGAAACTGAAGAAGATTCATGGAAGATATTCACGCACCCGATCGAGTAAACCAAGTTTAGGCTAAATCTTAACATGATGGGGAAAATGATAGATAAGGCCGAAGATGTGCAGTTTTATATAGTGAATATATGATTAAAATGACAATAGAAAGGAAACGAAAAAAAAATCCTCACCCGTGTGCGGGTGGTCTCAAAAAGAGAAAATTACGAAATCCTGCTTGTCCAATTTCTTTTTAATTGCATACATTAGTTTTGTTGCGTGTGTCTTGCCTACCCTCTGTACACTTGATAGCCAGGCCATTTTCGTTTACTAACAAACGGAAGGTGTGGTTATCTTAAGGTTGTAAGTGTTCTATCAATCAATGATTGATTTTTATGCATATGCAAACGCACATTGCAAAATTTAAGCACTAAACCGTGTTTAAAAATTTACATTTTGGTTCTTAACCCGCACTCGGTATTAATTTTGCTGCCATAAAATAATTAATCTCGCGAATTTCGTCCAAAATTGACTCCGACCTGCTGGTAACTTAGCAACGGTCTTCGGGATCCGCTATTACACACTGGGACGAAATTTTTGCATTTAAGCTAAGTCATTCAAAAATTGGAGATGAGTTGTAACTTACATAGTTCCATATGTGCTTCTCTCAAAAAAGCCTCAGTAAAGCGACTAATTGGACATTTTTTCGGTGTTCAAAGTACTCTTGGCTACCATGAATTAAATAGGTGGCTGTCAGCAAATGCAAATGTTTCATATTTGCCATTGTTTGGGCCTCTGCAGGTCAGAGGACGTCCACTATGACATTGCACATAAACACTGTTGAATCACCATTGGTAAAACTGGCATATTTTAGCCGATAGTTCAGATCTTATCGCACGCAAAAATGCCTATCGATTTTAATTCTTCCCAAATTAATAATTTTGGAAGTTGGCTTGCTTAATTTTTATGAACTAGGACACTTTGAATAATTCTCGAACGTAATGAAAATTTCATGTCAAGAAATAGCCTTTAGTAATGAATATTGCGCAATATGCGCGACGACTTCGGACGATGGCGAGCGCCTAAAAAAAAGGCCAGACAATATTGTAGCTGGTGGAGTTTCACTGTCACCTGAGGCTATCTGCAGTGGCTTAAAATTTATTCATAACAGCATTCTCCTTTTGAATAAGAATTATCTTAATAAGCTTTGATATCACTTGTCAGCTCTGTATGGGGTTCATTCGAAAATCTATTTTTATAAATTCATCTCCAGAAGTTCTTTGGTTGTGTGGCCAGCTTTTCAGGTTTAAATCCCCGTTTTTCTTTGGCATAAACAGATACAACGCGTTCTCGTGTTTTATTTCTGCAGCACAAAAATTGTATTTCCAAATTCGCAAATTCTAAGCAGTCTCCTAAAAGGTGATCGATTTCTTTTCTTTCTGCTAACCACTTTGGGATGAATTTGCATTTTGCATTGTGGAGTATGATCGTTTTCGAATCAATATTGCAGGTATGATTGTAAGCGTAATATGGAAACAGGAAGTCTTAGAGGACTAGACGGAGATGCTTTAGTAAAAATTCTATAGTACGATACTTCGACTTAGAATGGCAAAACGGTAGAAGATGCTAGAACAGAAGTAAATCAGAAATTTCTGCAAAGGGATGAAATTCTGATAGAAGCAAGTAAACGTGAATTTTTCGTCCGCATTTCAGAGTTTGAAAGGATTTGGAAAGTCGTTTGATTGATGACTTAAATATTCTTTCGACGCACAAGCTCCATAGCCGATGAAACTTTGTTAACGTTAACAGAGCTACAATTCTAAAAGTGAGGACGTTACTAGGGCTGTTAGATTGTACTATGAAAAATTCATAAATTGGTCAGCACAGTTTTCTAAATGTTTAATATTCTGCTAAAGATAGCAGGTTATCGCGTCTGTGAGGTGTAGTCTGTTAACAGTAACTTACCCAGCCACCATTTGATCGAATCCAGCCCGATAGACTTGAAATATAATTTCCAACCCAGTCAGCTATATCATCTGCTTCCTTCTCGAGTCTGTTTCTAAAACAGTATTGGGCTAGTTTCGCTCCAAACGCAAAAATCGCCACAATTCTGCCCCAGTTCACTCCATCGCGGAAAACTTCGTCAGCAACTTGCACAAATTTTGTATGTGCAGAACCAGTAAGTATGTTAAGCCTTCCACACATGTTGGCGAGCACTGCAGGATGACGATCCTCAAGTTCATCTGACAGCCTTCTCAAAATTGCAGCAGTGCGACTCGGAGGAGGGTTTCCCTTTCCAGTGCGATACTCAACGAGGTCTTTGGCTAGGGCCTTAGCTTCTTGACAAACTCTTTGCATTTCGTTGCTGTTTGAATCTTGGAGCTGCGCGAGTCTGGTTTTCTGCAAACAATCCATATCTTTCATGCTTAGTCTGTTTCTTAAACCCCTGTACACTTGATCGCAGTCGGAGGAATTTAAACGTCCTGTTCGTTAAAGTTTCGTTTCCTCTCAATTTGACGCTGGTTGCAATTTGTTTTGATAATTATGGCTCGCTCGGTAAACCCTTCAATTGCCACCTGTTACGTACGCTGAAATGGTTTTCTTGAATTATGACTGGTTCATTCCACGTAATCCATTCACACGATTGGTCGAGAAGTGTGAATCAATTTTTTTGTGGGCAGTTAATTCATATTAAAATGCACTGATGAGGAAAATTAATTCACTCGGTTCCAATTTAATTTTTGACTGAAATTGCGTAGGACGACGCGCTTTTCTATTGGGTAAGAAGTGTAAATTGTGCAAATTCTTTCGCTAAAATTGATCACTTTTTCATGCTTTTCGTGCGATGACTGATACGTGAAGTTAGCTTTTTTCGGCAGCTTTCTTCTTTTTGGCATAACCCTGGACAGGTTCATTCTGCGTGCAGTGCTAGTTTTAGGTTCCTTTTTGCCTCTTTGTTTTTTATTCATAAATTTAAATGAGAACCCGCGGTATCCTCTTTCATCTACCTACGGCTAAACTCTCTCACGTACTGCATCGAACGAAATTCGTGCGTTATCACGCAAACCGTTAATTTTTGTTTGCGTTAAGGGTGACGTGGACGTCAAACAAGCAGATTTTAGATTTTTGTTTATTAAACAAACATTTTAAAAGCACTCTTTCTGAGGTAACCAAAACATGAAAATATTGCGTTGAACATCAGCGTTAAAAATTGATTCGACAACGCTGTAAGCTTTTCTTTTTATAAATCAGTGTTATAAACCAGCAAGTTCTGAACAACTGATAAATTTAGTGGCCTTCAACTTCACTTAATTTCAGTTGTTTTAAGGACAATTGTATTATCAGTTTGTGTAGCTGAGCGCTTACTTCCGAATTGATGTGATAAAAACGAACGTTTTAGTGAAGCAATTTTTGTAGCTGAGCGCTTACTTCCAAATTGATGTGATAAAAATGAACGTCTTAGTGAAGCAATTTTTGTAGCTGAACGCTTACTTCCGAATTGATGTGATAAAAATGAACGTTACGTGCAATATGCTAATCATAATTGCCAACTTTATTTGATTTCCGAGTGCAAAAAAACGTTCGTTTGGTGACTACGACGAAAGATGTGTTTTAAACGTGCCTGTAACTTTCAGCTTTTCTAGAGACTTCACTTCACTCAATTTTTGATTGCAACATGCATTCAAGGCTCCCATTTATTAATATTTATGCCGCGCCTCTTGCACGAAAATAAGTATACACTTGAATCGGGGTATATCACGAGCATGCTGTAAAATTCAACCGGCTTACTGTCAGTCTTAACAGAAATTATATCATTTGTTTCTGTACATTGAATTTGCAATCCTTAGCTCTACATGATAAGGTGACTAATCAGTGAGAGCTTGGTTGAATGGCAGCGACTGCCATGCATGCAAAGATAAAGTAATCTGTGCCAGGAAATGACACGCGACGAGAGTTTTAAGCAACAATTTCGAACTGAAAATGTTAATATATTCTTTTTTACCAAGGCTAGTTATTATAGTGATCATTTTTGGTGATCGAATTAACACCGACCGCAGTCAGCTTTATGATGGATTAAATCCACGATCAGAACGGGGAAACTCGAAAAGCAAACATAATTTCGCTCTACGGTAATTTATCAAATAAATCTAACAGAAAAATCAATCACTATCCCCTGTTTGTAACGAATGCAGACATACTTCCATTGATCGAGCCGGATGGCAAGAGTTCAAAGTGGTTTGAGATGTTGCACGCATCATTCGCGCAGTTCTGAAGGTAGTCGATCATTTGCGCGAAAAAAAACGGAGTCGGCGAGATTGTTTCGAGCGCAAACTCGTACTTAAAGGGCATGTAAACCCAAAAATACATATTTTCTCATACTATGTAAAAAGTGGCGTAGAAAACGAATTTGAAATTAGTTTTGTCCAATTCGACTTATTTTAGGAGAAGATCGGCATTTTCAACTGAAATTCCATTTCCGGTAAAAACAATAGCGAGAAGTCGTGACGTAAGCGGTGGAACCAAAATATTGCGCAACACATATTCCCCAGTAGAACTGGTGTGGGAGTTCGTGTAAGTAGCGGTAGTTCGGATGATGTTTTTTCAGAAGATAGCGACTCGAATGCCTTAAGCTTAGTACATGACAGCGCTGGGGATAATCCAGAATCTTCAGGAGAGTCTGGGCCACGTCCTTAACAATATGAGTCGCGTAGGGTTCACCGAAGCGATCCGCACGAAGACAGTACAGAACATGTCGACAGCGATGCGACCGTCACGGAAACTCAGACTGGTATTTAATTTACTTTGTGATTTATTTGTATTTAACATGAAAATGCAATAAAGCGAGGGTACAATCTAAAGGAATGCAACAGAATTTTTTTAAACTTGAGCTTCTGAGAGTGTTTTATATAAAATTATCAAAGGTGCGAGTGTGGAACTTGTCAACCAATGCCGACAACTCATGAAAGTGTTTGTTGTACGGAAATCGGGCAATTGTGACAAAATGGCCTGAAACCCAGATAAGTTGTATCACTGAGCATCCAGGTTTTCAGTCAATTTGCCTCGATTTCTGGGTGCTGGAGACGGCCAATTACGCTTACAGGCAGCAGCAAAGCACAGATAATCACACCGGAAACGACTGAGCTAAATATTTTCTGTTTCATCTGTTTTGTTACATTTTGAGATCGATTTACTTGAGTTGTTTCTGCCATTGATTTAATAATACAGTACTAGAGCTAGTTGTTTTTCGCTTCTTTCCTGGCAGGAAATTTCGCTAAATTGCCTACAGATAGCTTGTTCGTTGGTGTTGGGGATATCTCGGCAAACACTTTAGGGTCGCTGTGCTATCTTGTGCGGTAAACAATATCCTTCATCTCAGAAGCATTTCCATCGATAAACAAGTTGTATCATGTACATTTCCTTGTGTGGCCTTCATAATTATCCAACCCTGTTTGTGTTTGCTTCGATTTGAAATATTGAAAAGATAGTTTTGCAAGCTGAAATCAACTCAAAATGATGAATATTGTCCTACTGACCTTTGAATGTATTTTCACTGCTGTGAAAACCGCGACACAAATTCTTCTGCTGTTTCTCTGCAGGGTTTCTCAAAGGAAGCACTAAGTGGGGCTGGCATGGATTTTCTTATAGAACATAAGGGTTGATTATGGGATCCTGTATAGAATTCTTTGTATAGAACCGACAAAATTCCAGATCACGTTATTACACACTGATATCAACGAATTCTCTTTCTTTGATACGTGTTTCGAATTCAGGCAAAGGTTCAGACATGTCAGTGTCTTTTACGGGCTCAGCGCTGGCTCCCAAACAACTGGCTTCCCCATAATCTTTCATTAGATGAGAAAAAAGATGTTTTTAGAGAACCAATAAAGCTATTGTTGTTTAATTAACGAAACGTTCTCATGTAAATCGATTTTGTACTTTCTCTGTTGACCTCTAACTTTTGAAGAGCTCAACTTCTTTCTCAGTTTGGTCAGCCACTTCCGAATCCTCGTCGCCTGCCGACTGTATGGGTTGTTTTTGTCTTCCGAATAATTTGCTTCTGGTGGGGCCTGAATCGTCGGTACAGCACCAGGAAGAAAAATGACTGCTACAAACAACAGAACGTTCGAACGGCTCGACGAAATCGGCTATTTTCACTTGAACAAATTTCACAAATTGTCGCTTCAAATTTGCGTCATTTGGAAATATTTGCATTGTATGCCTAGTTTTGTTTGAATCAGTACAAAACTGGACGGCACAACGCTTCACCATGAGGAAAAAATTGATTATATTGAAGTAAACTGTAAGTAAAAAAATCATGACGAGACCAGCAAACAACGGCTATAGAAAAGACTCCTTCGTGCCTCACGCGATTATAAAACGAGACTTTGAAGGGTCCACCCGTGACGTCACAGGAAAGATGGCGCCATTCAAGATGGCGAATGTTTCGAATTTGGAAGAGCTTTTACAAAGTGAAAATGGACTTTTGAGAATAAACGAATGGTACCTTTGGTGTACTTGATATATTTACTAAACATCTATGTGAAAAGAAAATGAACGTTTTTTGGGTTTACATGCCCTTTAAGGAGTCTCTCGTGTAAAATATACTTGCTCCTAAAAACGTCCTTTTCAACAGAAATAATTTTTACCATTTTTTTTCCGAGGACAGTACACGAAACGACTGCCTGTAGTATGGTCGTGAAAGCATAGGACAAGTTTAGTTGAGTGTGCTTATCAAACGCGGAAGCGGTTTTCTTTGCATTTCAATTCTGTTTTTGGAGAGGGATAGATTATTCTGTGATCGAAAAACTTGTTGGAAGGTCTTATTGTCGAGTAGTCTTTTTAAGTGCTTAACACTATAGTCTCTACGTGTGACTAGCATATAATTTCTCTTTACAGTATCACCCCTGAATCAAACAGTAAGGTCATGAGAATAAAGGAAATGATCACCAACCAAAGGTGCTCTTGATTATTCAATGAACAAATTCTCCCAGTCGGCAACCTAGGAAAAGTATAGAGAACTGCATGGAGAATGTGCATATTGATGATTGGGTTTAAAGATTTTATTGGATGCGATGCGAATGTTTCTTACCAAATTACAAAAGCTCATAAAGATTGAAAAGTCAGCACCTTTTCCTCAGAATTCTTGAAAACTATAGCCGCTGATTACTAGAGACAAAAAAGTAAAGAGTCACGTACAACTATTTTCCCTGATTGACAAGTAAATGAAAATAGAAGACTGTTGTTTCAAAATTCTAACAAAGTTATTTTTATCCATATTTGTCGAATTCTAATTATAACGCGCTGAATTGAATTTGCTGACCAAGCCCGCTTATCTGTTTGGTCCCGATTCTTTCGGTTTCTATATTCTTAATAAAAAATAAATTGATCTGACCCTCTCATTCTTCATTGTATTGATAATTGTAATGTGTCGTTCTTGTAATAAGTAAATAAACGAATTGCACCACGCCAGCGTCACGTCACACATTTCAATGTCTCAAGCAATGCACTTTACAAGTAGCAAGTTCGTCTCTGTGATTTCAATCCTTATTTTTGTTTACTTTGTTATGTTTCGCCTTTAACACAAGGTAATCCGGAGGCACCTCATTTTGTTTGGTTCAAAGACTGTCCTCATTTAATTTTTCATAAAATTTAAGTACTTGTTTTTTTCTGCATGATTTACTATCATCGTCATACTATAAAAATGTATTACTTTCCGAGAAAGGCTAAACTTCCTGTCCTTGATTTTAAAAAGGGGTTTGACTACTAACAGCCAATCAGAAGAGGGCCTGACTCCGTAGGCCAATCATTTTCGTGCTCTGGTTTGATGGGTTTTTCCTTAATCCCAGATTACCTTATTACAAAGGTTGCCAAGTGCGTCAAATAATGATGTAATTATCACGGAAATCCTTATAAACGCACGTATTAAGTTCCGTTTCAGAAGTATACTACATTGGACAAGAGTAACAGATTTTTTAATTGTAAGTGAACGAGGCTGTGGTTTAGTGTGAAGAGGTTTCCTTCAGGTAAGTCGAATCGCTTCGCGAGAAGTGCTATGGTCCCTTATATAAATTAGCGTGTAGTGAAATCTTTCAGTTTTCGAACTGTGATATTTCGTCATCGCGAAATCGTCTCAATTTGTACCAACTGCAGTGAACCTTCCTCTTTCTGTGGGCGTTAGAGATCATATTAGTTTGGATTTGTCGGGTTTGCAACACCGGGTGATGATTAAAATTGTTCTTGTATTTATCGTACAGATTATATGGGGTTCCAGTTCTTCAAACGATCTACTAGCCGTACAAACCAGCCCCCAACTAGACGGCGATCTTTTAGCTTCCGCCGAAGTCGTCAGTCAGGGGACGAGAGAAACTCGCAGAGTGGAAACACCTCGACCACTCAGCGCCATGTTGGCGAGTGTTGCGCTGAGTTGCGAAGTTCAAGAGATATAGGAAGATGTTTGCGAGCGATCGGGGACAATCTTAACAACAGCACGCTGAGTCTTCACTCGGCAACGTAACCCAGTTAAATTACCTGTTTGGAAATTGAATCAGAGGAAGACGTCGGATATAGTATTTGCCACCGAACGAGATTTCATGAAAGAATTGACTAAACTGTAGAATGAAGAACAGCGAAGAGAGAACACTGAGGAACTTTCGTGTTGAAAGAGAATTTCCGCTTTTACTTGATTATGGGCAGTGTGATCTACTGTGTTTAACAATCTCTATTCACTGCGTCAAGATAACAGAGACTTAGTAAATGTGTTATTTATTCTAGTTATAGCGACATACGTGTGTTGAAATAAATCTGTGACGACGTTTTCGACTCTGAGTACGTCTGTTTCTTAGCGAACGCGCATTTCCGCTTCCTTTGGATTGCGTGACGGAAGTGATGAACCGTTAGTTGACGACATCTGTGAGTCAAAATGTTCTCAAATTAAGAAAGTTTTGTTATATCGCACTAAAATAACCAACGAACATCCCCTCTACCCACAGGCCTACCAGAAATTTGTATAGGTAATCACATGATTTCGAGTGCAATTTAGAATAAATAAGCACGAGTAAATTTTTTTAAAGACTAACAAGAAAAAAAAGACTCGCGAGCCCGCAGGGCGAGTGCAATTTGTGGTCTTTGAAAAAATTGACAAGTGCTTGTTTATTCCAAATTGCACGAGAAAATCATGTGATTACGTGTTAATAATAAACATGGAAAAATACGAGATGGTTTATCATAACCAAGCATAAGCAAAGCGCGGCATCAAGTGCAAAAATAATTTATTCAAACCGTGCGTTCGGTCGAAACAACCGCGTACGATCAAAACAATAATATGCAATGATATCTTCACATCTTGTGTCCGAATCACTTTTGATGAAATGGAATCCTCGTTTCCGAGGTTTACCCATGTTTGTTTTTAATTTCGGCGTTGGATCGCTCGAGCAAAGTGTTAAGCTGGGTCGGCCCGTAATTTTCGATTTCCTTGGCAATTCCCTTCTCTAAACACCACTTTTTCCAAACCGACAACCAAAAAGCAGTGCTTTTTACAGTGTTTTCGTTGTTTGAGCTGTTTTTCATCTGCGGTGGCGAAAGAAAACCTACTTAGGGAAGGTACGTTTTTTCTTGGGGGGGGGGCTGGGGCCTCAGAGGGGAGGGTCAGCAGTGAAAGTGAGCACCAAAGGGGGAGGGCCATACCCTCCTTTTCAGCTATTCAAGAGGAGGGTCACACCTTTTCCAGAATTTTTAATGAAGATTTTTGTGATGTTATTTTCCATTTTTCTTTTCAACTTGTTTCTTTTAATTCGGTGCAGGTACTAGTTTTACAAGGTTACTGAGTGTCTACATGTATATTATTCCATGGCACATAATTTTCTCGGAGTACTCGTGTCCTTTTCCGTATCGTATCGTTAATAATGATCCTTCAATTATATGGCAGAAGTTTTATTTTCCTACAGCAGAAAATATTTGTTACGAGCCACTGCAGGCTAAACAAACAAACCTGATTAAATTTAATAACAATCGGTAATGCTGAATTGTCGGAGAAAGAAACGCGTGTATTTTCCCTTCTACGTTCAAAGCTTTTTAATTTCTCGAATTTATAATTCCATATTTAAACTTCATCTATATAAAAAAAAGTAAAGCCCGGATCCCACACTGATCGTTCGCATTTTCTTGTTTCAGCGCACACATATTCAATATCGAGATTTATTCATATTCAAACATTTTGCGTTTACAAGCAAAATGTCGAAAAATGTTCTTAGGTTTCTATGGCATGGAGCATACCATGTGGTAGTGAGGGGAGGGTCACACTTTTGTCAGTCACCTAAAAGTGGGGGGGTCAGGAGTTTTTTAATCAAAACATGAGGGATAGCCAACACTTTCTTTTGGAAAAAATACCAAAATTCCCCAGCCCTCCCCCCCAAGAAAAAACGTACCTTCCCTTAAAACGCCGGCCATTGTTTCTCTCGCAAATTTTCAAACTTTGTTGCGACATCCAAGGCTCGCATTTAATTGGCTATCTGTGAGTTTCTTTGATTATTGACCAATCAGAATGTCTGATTTGTTACTTTCCTTGCACTGAATTAACCCTCTTCTGCACTAAATTAACTCCCTTCTGCACTGAATTACCTGAAAACTGCATTTATTTATGTTAACCAATCAGAACTGAGTAATTTATCCATGTATATTATTAGTTAATAAATTTAAATGATTTGCTCATAAATGTATGACCTCCCTCTTTAAAATATTTCACTGTCACATTTCTATCGCAGTCTATGAAAAGTATCTTTTCCCAGTCTCTTTAGAAGTTACGCTGCATAACAGTTTAAATGCCATCACAAATTGTAACAACCTGTGAGACACCAGGGAGAGAGGCTTGCTACAGAGCCCCAAATTTTTATGAGGTGCATACACGATCTGGTAAGTCCTTCATTCTCTAACTAAAAAAATAATAAAACAATGACAGTAATTTGGAGTGAATTGGTCTTATCCTTTACGCATGATGGAATAAATGGCACAAATTCTGGAGACCAAATGATAATCCCTGCAATCAGATTGAAAGAAAAAAAACCCAACCAGTCTTGTAGTTCACATGAAATAACTAAGGAGGGCAGAAACCAGTTACATGTACAGCATACCAATGGCTTTTTACTAAGTGAGTTCATTCCCTAGATCTCACAAGCAATTCTTCTTACTATCAGCAGTATAATTCTCACAATGTTAGTATGGAGAATTCGGTCATTGGATCAACTAATATCATCCCCTTACTAATATTTTTGTTCATTCTTATCACTTGTCTGTTTGATATTCTATTCATATTGTAAAAGGAACTTCTGTCTTGGTTACCCATGGTGGTGAAGAAAGTTAACCTTAAATAGAAGGTAACCATTTCAATTATATTTTAATAACTGCTTTTCCAATGCAACCTCAAAAATCAAAAGTAAATATGGCAGCAGGAAAAAAAGGCTTTCGAGAACAAAATAAAACAAGGATTTCCAAATTTTATACCATACTTTATTTTTTCTTTTCTTTTCTTTTCTAAACAAAAATTCATAACACAGTCATTAGATTACAATATCCTTGTCTGCTCTAAGTGGTATGATATCATACACTGTTAACTTTATGTCTTAATTATTTATAAATTTACATCAAATTTTACAAAATAAACATCAGTGCTTTGCATTCCAAAAGTGTAACTTTCCTCTAAGAAATAGAGAATAAGTAGTCTGAATTATTTCCAAACTGTCATGGAAAGGAAATGTTATTTTCTTTGTTCTTAATGCTATCACTTTTTCCAATGTTTTTCTTCTCTTTATAAGTCTGTGTCATTACCCTTTCTTACCTTGAACAAATATATTTACAACTGAATTTTTCCATCGATGGGAAAAGGTCAGGGAAGATCTTTTCTTTAAGTGCCAAAGGTATGTAATAAAAGTTGATGTGGACCACACAGTAGTAGGACCACAAACTACTGGTATTCAAAAAACTAATTCTACAAAACGACTTCTTTAAATTATAAAACTATTTACATTGCATGGGTTTATTAAGAGTCATCAATTATCTTTTTTGAGGCTTCACTTTGTCTGCTTGGCTCCTGTCAATATCTGAGACCTCCACCATAACTTTTCCAAGTGATTTTGGTGTGTTCTGTGATATGGGAGGAGTAGCAGCCTTCAAATAATCTGTACTGTTCAGATTAAATTGTACAACCTCTGGAACTTCATCTGTGTACTCATCTTTAACTTGAAGAAGTGTACGAGAACGCACTGCAGAAAGGATGTCAACAAAATGAAAATCAATAAAATGGAATTTCTAAGCTTTCAAAAATCTGATGAAAAACACAAAATGAAATCCTTGTCATTTATACCCCTTCCAACCCATCCTCCCTCCCTTGGAGAAGTGACTTACCAATGGCTGGTGCATATTTTGCAACAGCTTCCTTCTGCTCTCCAGGAGCATTGTTTATTGGAAAAAGAACCAAACCAAAGGCCAAAAACAGCACCATCAAACATGTCCCTGCCTGAGCTTTAGTAGGATGTGTAGATGCAACCAGTGCTTGGAGCTCTTTCAGCTGATCCAGAAGAGACCTAAAGCAATTCATGTTCACATTAGTGCATGTAACTACACCAAGCATTATCCCCTATTTTCTATCAACCATGTGGTACAAGTTTTTCATGTTCACATTTGCGCATGTAACTACACCAACCATCATTGCCTATTTTCTACCAAACATGGTACAAGTCTCTCCCATTGTCACTCCTTACAGAATGAGCCCTCTACATCAAAGGGTTCATCAAGCCTTGCCCCTAACTGTATGGAGTGTGACTCACTTGTTTTGTTCCTCCAGACTGTTGACTTTCATAGATAAGTTATGGTTAAGCTCAGTGCAAGCTTTCACTCTTTCTTCTAGTCCATCAATGTAATCCTTCTTTTTTCGTCTACTCTCTTGTGCAGATTGCTTCAAATAAAATTACAAAGTTCTCATTTGAGGATGGCTCATAAAAAGGTTTCCATTAACCCAGTATGTAGGGAAATTTCCAAATCAATGCAAAAGAAGGAAATACCCTTTCTTTTCATGAGTTTCATTACAACAATAGCCTTGATTATCACAAAACACAATCTAATAATTTCTCACCTTATTCTTTATTTTTCTTCTCACTTTTTTGAGAACTTTTTCTTCGGCCTACAGTTGAAGAAATGAAAATAAAATTTGAAGATTAACTTTGCATTTTCTCTGAGGTATCTGTACATTTACTGACTAAAAATCATCTTGTTATTTAAAACTCTACTAATCACTCCTGGAAATTACCAATCCCTCCTCATCATATAATGTAAGAAAAAATATGCCAAATCTAATTACATTAGGGTTTTGCTCACAATTAAATATTGAGGATTAAGAAAAAGGTTTTTGAAAAGATAAAGGGTGTGCTAACCTAGCTAGCTTTACTAACAGAAAAAGTCTACAGGTATTGGTTCAGTTTGATATGACTATACTGGTTTGCAATGAACACTGTCAAATAGTTACAAGAGAAATCACACTATCAAAGCACCTATAGAATGTCATACCTTGGTGAGAGGCATATCAGTCGGTAAGGTAACTCCTTCAATCTCTAATAACTTCTTTTCTTCACTTGTAAGAACCAGAAGTTTTGACTGCAAAAATAAAAATAAGAGAATCAAACTCATTAAAATTACACTAGTTTTCTTCCAGAAAATTACTTTACACTGTACAAGGTTAGTAACATCTCTACAAAATGAGAAACCATTTAGTGTACAAGCAAGTTGAAATATCCATTCAAATATTTTTGGTTCATCTGAGCCAAAAAGAAATTTTTCCCAGTTTACCTCCAATTTTACATAATTTCAAAACTACCGCTACTAAGAATGGTACTATTGTCTTGAAAAGAAATAAAAAAGGCTACTTTAAGTACATGAACCTCTTTGTATAATGCTCTAATGACATACCTTGCATACCCTGGAAGCAAAGGAAGAAACTATCGACTGACTGACTGATACTGTGGAGGACTTGACTGTTGTTGGCGGGCAGGTTTCATTAGTTGCTGATTCTGAAGCATCAATATTCCCTTCTAAGTCAGGGAGCTCAACATTCCATCCTATGTAAATGGTAAGTGCAGCAGAATAGAATAAACATTACAATAACTCTTGATCCAATTTCTTTGAAGTATCCTTTAGTCAATCTTAGATCATAAAATGATCACCAGACATAAACAATTTTTTATGTTTGTCTGTGTGACAGAATCTTTCCTTTCAGAACAAGGTACGCAAGTGGTAACTGCTTTTAATTTGTGCAATGACTGCAAGAATAAAACAGCTCTTTGAAACAATTCTTTTTTGAAGCAGTCCCCATAAAGGTGTTGGCCACAGAGACCTTGTTTAGGAAGCAGTACATAATAAGTAGTTAAACCATTTAACTCCAGTGAGTGACCAAGACAGAATGTCTCTTTACAATATCATGCAGACAAGTGATAGGAATTAAGAAAATTATCAATGAGAGGATTATTGATTGATCAAATATCAAATTCTTTGAAAATAGTATCATAAGAATTGTATGGCAGATGGTGATGAGAATTAGAGCTTGGGAGTGAAAGAGTTAAGAAAAAAATCTATTCTGTACAGACTGATTTTTTTTTTGGAACTCCACTTACCAAGATCAATTGTAACATCTTCACTGTTTTGCGGCAATCCAGGTGATGTCGATGTTGAACTAAGAATCTCAAGCAGCTCATCATCAACAGTATTAGGACTGGGTGTCATGTATGAATCTGATGAAGAGCTTTCACAGTGAGGTGGAGATAAATCACCAAGATCTGGGAATTCTTCCTCAAATAACAGGCCGATGTCGAGAAGACCACCATCAGTGTTAATGGCAAAATCACCCTGGAAGATAATACACAGATGCATTCTTTATGAAAAGGATAATTTTCTTTGATGCTCTAAAAAAACCAGAGAGCAGCCGATTCACAAGAACAGCAAAAGCAAAACAGAGCAAGCATACTCTTCAAGACTTTATTCACCCTTTCCTTTGACTGAAATAATTGACTGGGTAGTTGTGGTCTATGAATACTTTTCTGTTTTCCAGTGCACCCACTACTGACAAATTTACAATTTAGCAGAGATTTAACAAAGATTGTCGAGAGTTTCAGAAGAGCCAAACAAATTTTGCCAGCCCAGTGAACCCTGGCCCTTAGTGAAGTTCAGAACACAACACGTTGCTGGATCAAATTTCTATATGTAAAGTGCAGCTCTGTGTTGACAGTACTCAGGCTACAGAATTTAACTCTTGTTGAACTGTAACATCTGAGGAATTTTTAGGAAGTTTGGACATTATACCAGTATTATGTTCAATGCTCTGACCATAGCATTGAGCCCAAAATTATGCAGCATAATTGTACGTGTATCTGACCCTCGATACTGCAAAGTGTAAAAGATCTGTTCTGCTCTACATAAATTAACACTTTTCGACTAAAGCTTTGATTCAGCCTTGTTAAACAAGCCATAATAATATTTTACATTGATCGCTTGTTACAGATGCAGTATCAAAAATATAAAGGATCACTGTTACTCCTCTGTGAGTCAGACTATCGAAAACAATACTGTTCTGAGGGGAAAACACTTTGGAAATTGGAAGTAATTTTAGAATATAAATCAGCCTCTCATTCTTTTTCTAAGCACAGAACACGAAAACACCGTAGGTAACTGGAACAAACAATGATAAAGCTTTGATAAAACCCTCGTGGCGCAAGTTGTTACGTGCATATCATGTCTCTGGCAATTATCATTTGAAACTTCGTTTGTCTAAGTGGAACTGTACCTTTCTGTATAATCTGAGAGCTCAAAAAAGCAAATGTCTTCACAATGGTTGAAACATTCAAATCTACGTATGACGAAGCTTGCATTAGATGTAAACATGGACAAAAAAACACAGTTCTATGTTCACTATGAATTCTGAACGATATGAAGATGAAAATTTTCTGTGCATATTGGTGTACGAATCCAGCATAAAAATAATAATCCTCTTCATCGAACGAACGAAAGAAGTTTCATTTTCGACCAAAGACAGGTAGCAAGGCTTCATTCAAATAAACAAACTATATGCATTTAAAACACTTTTACCGTGCGTTATATGTGAGAATCAGGAAATCTGCCAACTCACCTGGGCCCATGAGTCGAGAAAATCTGGCGAGCTCAAAAATACATCTTCCTGTGGGTCTAAATCTTTCTTCGCGTACAGGTGATCCAAAGAAACTGGAGAAGGAGGAGCAGTTACAACCATATTGTCGAAATGAGTGTTAATAGTTCAAAACCCTGCCAACATCTAAAGTTTGTACGTGGAACAAGGAGACCTTCTCTTGTTGTCAACTATGGTCTTATTTTACGGAACAGACGTCATGCACGAAACCCTGACATGTTGGAAATGGTGACGTGGCAGGGCCATGGAACCGGAAATAAACCTAGGACAAGGCCCAGCGCGGTAAAGATAAACCGAGGTATTTGTGGGCTGAGATTGGTTGCTTCCTCGACTAGCGCCATAAACCAAAGTGTGGACTCTCGACGAACTGAACGAGGTTGATTTTCTTTGTACGTGTTTGCGGACTGGGATAAAAATGCTAAAAATAAACCTACAAATCTTGAACAAACAGACGTAGTCAATGAAAGATTTTTTAAACGCTAAAAGATAACACCAAGAATTTCAAACAAATTCACAAAACTCATAGCAGTTTCCTCGTTTCAAAGACGTATTTCACCCTTAGCTACGAAAAAACTATTTCCGCGTTACAGAGGTCATCTTTGGTTTTAGTGGCAGCGTAAGGCTGGGGAGAGAAAGAACTTTGTAGTAAGAGGGCAGTCGACGGTCAAAATAAGGAGAGGGGGACTAAAGATTCTTCTCGCCCTTCCCCCGCCGTCCACTCTAATTCCAAATCAAATATGGCCGGTCGGATAAGCGATCGCGAGCTTATAACGTTCGCTCGCGAAAAAGAGCGACGCCTGCACTGCAGGCTATTGAAAGATATAAACTATATTGCACGCCATACAAAACAAACCCCTTTTAATACCTCTGGGCGCACGTTTTGTTTTCAAAACTGTACAACTACAGTAAATCTTTTTTACACTTTGATGCAAAATATGTTAAAATACGATCTACCTTCGGTACAAAACTTCTACAAGATATTGCGCATACCAGCTTCTCTTGCACAGCAGAGAAGCAAGAAAAGAGATTTTCAATTTTACTTCGTAAAGTGGAACTTTACTTTAAGGGAGACAAGATGTGAGGGCTTTTTACTAGGAGTATTTACATACTTTTTACAACTCCACAGTCAACGAACATATAATCGATATTAATTTAGAAAATAAATAAACTTAATAAATGAAAAATATGGCGACTTTGAAATGTTCTTGGATTTCTATTTTTGGTAGTTAACAGAATCAGGAATGTAGTGATAAAAAGGTGATTAAAACTTTGCTTGTCAGAAGCTGTCATCTTTTTTCCCTGTCGGTCTCTAGGCTGCGTCTGTCTTCTCCGTGTCTTTTTCCCTCGCCAGACTTCGGAGAACTTGTTTGATTCCCGTGACGTGACGACGATGAATCGCTGTTCCGATCGCGGTGCGTATGGTAGCGACTTTCGGACGAGTATTCCCGAACACTACTTCGGTGATGGTCATCTCTTCGGTCCCGACTCTTTTCGTAAGATCGAGAATGGTGATCCGAGTTCCTCTCATAAGATGCTCGCGAATGTTGATCGTGGGAGCGACTGTGCTCCGACGGCCTGTCATGGGTTCGGGAATAATCAGAAGTATGATAGGAAGGCCTATCTCTCTGGGGTTCGTGATACCTGTGACTGTGGTCATGTCTGCGATGGCGTGGGGAAAAAACGGATATGTCATTGTTGACACTTGGATATTTCTAGTAGTTTATCAAGTTTGTGCAAGCATTTCAGTCGTAGGGGTTAAAAATTGGGGTTGTGGCCAAATTTATTTTCTAAATCTTGCGCTCCAATAAAAAGCGACATAAGATCTTACCCGTCGCGTGACCCTTCACGTGGCCTGTCCTTGGTCGATCCGCTGACTCTGTCGGAATGACTGAACGAAGACCGTCGAGGGTCGTAGCCATCTCCACCCCCAGAATGCCTCCCCCCACTATGAGAACTTGACCCTGAGTTAGTGCGGTCCATCCGGGGCACTTTTCCTCCAGGCCCCAAATGAGAAGAGCTCCCTCCTTCCATTTGACGTTTGAGATCGTTGGATGAGCGTTGGGGAGCATGGTCACCAAGGTGCTTTCGGGACATTCCTGAAGAGTCTTGAGGGGTTCTCTGTGACTGAGGGGCGGGTCTGTTCTGAGTGCGCTGCAAGGAAAAGAACTGGATCATAAGACGGGTCTTAAAAGTCTTGAGTTGCTTTTTCCGAACTTCTTAACACCCCGATTTGATCTCGTTTTTATTGATAGCGGCAGCAAAGCCATACCAAAATTTTAAGAACCCTCTACGTACCTCTTGCGCTTTCGACTCATCTCTCTTTTTAGCAGCGTGTTTGTAAAGCTTGAAAAGCTTCTTCGCTTCAAACGACGTGAACTTCGACACAAACGTCCAAAGATTGCTGAAGGAAACAAAAGGGAATTAAGTTCACAACCAAATGTGACAAATACAGAAACAAATTTACGAAATTACACCATAAGCAACGATATATCAGCCACGTTACAGGCTTCACGTTAAGTTAACCGTTCACTTACTTCCTCCATTCCGTGACAACATCACCTTCTTTATAATGAGATGTGATTTCAGTGATGTGATCCCCAATTTTCAACAAGCACTGAAATGTAAAGGTTATTCTTTGGAATTGAATTGCTAGTGGCAATTACAGATAAGAGTATAGCGCAGTTTACTTAGGAAAAAATTTGTTTTCTGACTCAAAATAACCGCACAATTTTTTTCAAAATCGATAGACATGTAGATTGATAGAAATGGGTCAAAATGGATTAATAGTGCTCGGAGCATCCTGGACTCGAGTTCATTTCCACTTCCACCGTTTAAACCCGGGCAAAAAATTCGGACCGGAAGTAAATAAACCGACGATGTCTTCAGTTCGTTTTTCATCGAAATCTTGTAATCGCCCCTCGATCGAGTGAGACATTGCTGCGTCAACGGCACAAGAAATGAAAAATAAAAATCTACCTGTCTTGTCTGAGAGACTTGATCCTTCTCAGTCATGGTCCCTTCTGGACTCTCCAGCATTTTTAGGGCTCTTTTCACTGGCCGCATTTTCTCTTTGCACTGCAACAACAACAAGAAAAAGATTATCGATGAAACAAAGTTACAAGTCCACCATTTTTCATGTCTTTTTCGTATAGGGAAATCACAGCTGTTTCATACACTTGAATTGTTCATAAGACTTAACACTAGTTAATTTTTTTTGCGGCGTCATTTACCTCGAAAACGTACATCTACTGGACTTGGACAATCCAAAAAATTTCATGCTACAAGTTCGGCAACAGCTTCTTTGGAGGCATGCACGAGAATGTGAACCACCAAACATTTCCAGATCCGAACAGCCAATTTACCAAAGTAGGGAATACGCTGCTTACACTCACCGCTTCAAAAGTGGCCTTTTCCATGTCATCTAATGCATAGGAACTCTTTGGTTTTCCATCGTCCTTGCTTTCTTTATCTTCAGTATCCTTCTCAGGAGTAGGAGGCTCTTCTTGAAAAACAGAATCTTTGATCTCCGGTTTCTTTTCTTTAATAACTTCCTTCTTGTCTTTCTTTTGTCTCTTTGGCTACAAAGAAATCATGCACAAGATTTGCACAAATGTTTGAGTAAAGCAATTGGGTCTTTTTCTTGATTTATGTCAGTGAAACATCTCTTGGTCGAGCAGTTGAACATATTTTGGTCGAGCAGGGGCTGGGCGGAGAGTTTGGGAAGAAATTGAATGTCACCATATCGTGCTAATAAAATGTGTTGGCGAAGGTAATTATTAACATCAGTTCAGCTACACATGAGCAAGTGAATCAGCGCCCTCGTCTCGGTTTGTGAGACGTGTTTTTTTAGAATATTTGACCAGTTACTTAAAATCATTCTGCAAATTTTCTCAGCTATACCAGAAATCGAAGTACTTTGTAGGCACTTTTACATTTAGCAAAAATACCGTGAGCAGGAACAACAAAAACAACAAATGCATATTAATAAACCTTATCTCCTTCATCTTTGATGCCCTCCTTCTTCTTGGGAGCCTTCCTCTTTTTCTTTCCTTCTTTTGCATTCTGACCCTCCTGACTTATTTCAGGAGCGACTCCATCTTCTTTATCTTCTGCTCCTTCAGGGGGGGACAACACAGCCATGGGTGACGGTGCAGCGCTGTTGGTCAACGAGTCGTCTGATTGCTGCTTCCCTTTCTTAGTGTCCTTCTGCTTCAGCTGACGGATTTTAGATTTGAGCATTTGCGATGACTGCAGGAAAGAAAAAGGAAATATGACTTCGCAATTTAATTATTGAGGCTAGGGGACTTGGTAAAAGGAATCCGAAAAGGAAGGCATGTCGGCAACATTGACCGAGGCTGGCACAACCAAAGCAGAAGTCATGTCGGCAACATTGACCGAGGCTGGCACAACCAAAGCAGAAGTCATGATCAGAAACAAGTGACCACTTTAATGATGACTTCAACCTGTCGATGACTTCCGCACAGGTTGTCGAAACATGATGCGGTTACTGTCAACAACTAAAGCCCCTTTTTCGGGACTTCCCTAACATGTAACTTTAAATTACACAGCCGAGCGTTTACGCGGATTAGCTGAAAAGCAGCGGTTTTGCAGGTGCTCAATAAATAATAATAATTACTGTAGCACGGTGGGGCCTCGAAAATGAAAATTCGATATTTTTCGAGTGCCGCAATCGATTTCCTCTTTCACGTTCCCCTCATGACTTTCAAGAAGCATGCAATTAGGCTAGTTGCGTTTAAAAACCATTTCGCGAAAAAGGACCAACAAGGCTTTTCAGGTTCAAGGGTAAAACTAACCGCTATCACACCACTAACCTTTCGGAGTTGTTCTGCTTTGTCTTCGATAGCAGCTTGCTTTAAAAGTTTTATTAGATATTCCACCCTCGTTTGCAAATGCTTATCTTGGGGCTTCAATGTCCCGGGAGGAAGGATCTAGAAGAGGGGAAAAAAAAAAACGATTTATGTCAAAAGAGTCTGGTTAATGATCTCCGTTTTCGGTAAAATGAGAGAAAATGGCCTCTGGCCGTGTGATTTTGTCGTGTTCTTATGCAAGACACTTCAGCCTCCCACTTTTTCATTCTGGGAGGGGGAGAGAGTGAAGGTATTATAACTGAAATAAACTTCCCTCCCCTGGTGGGGAAGGGGGAGGGGTATGCAGTCATCTCGGTCTCTCCATGCCATAGAAACTGGAGAAACATTCAGCATTAACGTGCTTCTACTTCAAAACGATTTAAACTGAAACGTTAACAAGAGAGCAGCTCTTTTACCTTAGACGACAGCGACAGACTCTGATCAGCCTTGATGGCCTCCCAGCTTCCTAATCCATATTCATAGATTCCGACCAGTAACATGGAGTCATCAGGAACATCCCATGGGACTCCCCAGTGTACACTTTTGGCAGGTGCAGTCAGACGGAACCTAAAAAGGTAAAAAATGCAGAATAAAACGAAAGACACAGGGCCATGAAGGAGGAAAATCAAGGAAAAAAGTCATATGCAAGCCTTGAACTGTTCAACCTGTCCCTAAAATAAAATTTAACTGTAGTCGTTTACTCACTTTCGTCTAGCGTCACTGTCTGCTGGCATGATGACGGCAAGTGATTCAAGTTCTTCTTCGTGTTTCAACACCGATGGTGCATTTATGGTCACGTTACTGAGTCGTACAGTGGCTCCACGCTTTTTACCTGTTACGAAAGTCCACAAAAAATTAGACCCCGTTCTCACGAGATTCAATTAGAACGCTTTTTAATCAGGGATATTGGATTCGTAACTGAGCCAAACTAACCAATAAATTGTTTTCAAAGAATCTAGTTTCACAGGTAAAAACAGTAACCTCTACTTCTCTGAACACCATGATAAAATACTGACAAATTATGGCAATTCTTTTCTTCTTGACGCTTATACAGAAACCAAAGATGCCAGTTCGACAAAGGCAGTTAATAACAATAAGTCCTTGTCATCATCTTATACTTGATTTAGCATTTATATGTTGTCTGTGCGGTTAAGACCTTATAACCCATTTATTGTTTAGCTTCCAGTATACAATGATGAGGATTCGTTTTTAAGGGTTGCATCAAGAGTAGAATACAATCAAAGGCTATGCACGACAACTTACCATCAAAGTTTGGATCTTCCTTCAGTTTTTCTTCATATTCTGCCACAGCTCGCAAACAACCATTATGTAAAATATCTGCCAGTCTAACAAGGTCTTCAGTTGGTTTATCTTCCAGTTCAGCATCAACTGCAATTGCGTCAAGTCTGTCATCGAGAGAGATTTTGAAAAATGTGTCATTCCAACATCATACAGCAAAGCGGTTTGGCTCATAGCATTGGAGAATCTCAAAGTAATTTGTTATTATCAACTGAGTTGATAACGTAATAACATAGGCCACCGTTAAAGAGTTTCAAAGCTAACGTTCCGAGCGTTAGCCCTTCGTCAGAGCTCTGAAACTCTTTAGGTGGCCAATTTACGTTACAAACTCGGTTGATAATACCAAATGACCCTGCTATACTCTCCCATCGACGCAGCACCCCAGTTTCTTTCGAAACTTACCCCCTTTGTTGGAAAATCTCAGTCTCTAGTTTGTCAAGTCTTGATCAACAACTTTTCACCCCAGGAAAAATCTTTATTTAATCCATAAACACATAAAAACTCACATGCCCACCTATAACAGATCCGGAATTCATGAAGTTGTTACATTTCGTAAAGAAACACAGTACCAGTGCTTGAAGACTTAAAGTTAAAAAAAACCCATCAGAATACCTGGATCTTGGTCTGCCAAACTTCTTATAACTTTTAACAAATCTGATGTAAAAAAAAAGGTGAGCATAGGTTAGCGAGGTATACTGGAAAGTAATGATTTATCTTACACTTCTAAAGAAAGGTAGTCCATCCTAAACCTTCCCCAGCTATATTTGCTGATATGAAAGATGTTTGTTATGAGAACTTTATTCAGTAAAAACTAACAGATCAATGTCACGTTTCCAACCTTCGTATTTCAGCATCACTAAAGCCTTCAACATCTTCTCTTTTTATTGTGCGTGGCCGTCCACGCTTTCGCTTAATCCCTTTGCCTTCTCCACCAGAATCATCATCACTCTCTGATTCTGATTTTTTCTTCCGACTCGTTTTCCTTCTGTAGCTTGTTTCTTGCTCATTGTCACTGTGCCCGGCTTTGCCATAATTCATCTGTTGAATGAACAACGTGATTTCGTATTCAATGGATTTTACATCGAATGTCGAAATAAATTCAATATTGCATTGGTTTTCCTTTACTTCGCTAGGTAAGAGGTTCAAAAAAGAAACACCACTCTCTCAGCCAGTTAAATGCAAAACTAAACCAATCATGCCCTAGTCACGTGCAATACTGAAACCAATCATGACGTAGTCACGTGCATTTTCCTTCTCTTGAGGCAATTCCCTCATCTAGGCTGTGAGTTCGTATTACTGCATGCGATATTTTTATTTAAGCCTATTCTGATTCGCAATTAGTCACCTTGGTTGTAGCTTAAAAACTCATTTGAGAAGCGATATACGAAGGGGAAAAAAGGCAGTACCTTTTTTACAGTTTTTCGGTTACGAGGCGGCAAATACAACTCCAACTGTTTCTTCTGCTCTTCTTCCTCCTCGATCTTTTTCCTGTCTGATTCAGGGATGATGTCTGACCAGCTTTTGCCTTCATCTGTTGAATTGGGCTCTTGAGCTACTCCGGCAACTTCATCTTCATCCATAGCAATACTAGCAACCTGCAGGCATTACCGTAACAACGCCTTATGGAAACAATTCTTTGCCATTGATCCTTTACGTTAATGTTACTTTTTTCTTTCTTTCTTTTTTTTTTCCGTTTTTCAGGTTTGTCAAAAGAAAATGTTGGTAATCACGTTTAACAGCTTATCTAGGCAAGTTGCTTTTTTGCCTCCATTTCCATTCTACAAGCGCTGAAGGAAACCAAACATATAATTGAGGTATGAAGGAGAAGAGGCTGGGTCGAGCTACATCTGTACAAGAAACTCACACCGTGTCTTGACCCAATCCATTCTCTCCCAAGGCTACTTAATCCATGACAACAGAAGAAAGCTTTTGGCAGTGAACAATCAACCTAACTAATCCTTACGCCAGCATGTTGAGTTGTTGATTGAAGAAGCCAGCAAAACCCTGGAAACTCTCAAGAAACTTTGCCCGCTAAGAGATGTTGTCAATACAGCTCTACCTGAGAGAAACCCCATTAGCTTTAAGGACAGCCTCTACAAAAATAGCCATGAACCATACCTTGAACTGTGACAGTAATTCTTCTCCTATAGTATGAGGGTGATCATCAGAATCCCGAGTTTCAGCTGCTCTAAGAATGTCATCAATATCCATTTCCTACAAGTGGAAAATTCATTACACATTAGATTACCATACAGCCCACTGCCAATTGGTCAATCGATACAAATTCCGATCATTATCACACGTTCTTGCCACTCTACAGATAAGACAAGATAATTTTGGCTGATGATCAAAACTAGAATCCTCACAGCGTGCTCGATCACTTTCAACCTTGGGTTTTTATGAAGACTTTGATTGCTGAACGACAAATTTCTAGCAATGAAAAATATAATGAACCTGCAGTTGGGTATCTTCTCCGTCTCCTTCTTTAAAGAGTTCCTCAGCACCAAACTTCAAGATTGCAGCAAGTTCTTCTTTGTTAAATGGATTACTCCTGGAGCAAAAATAATTCGTGTGAAAAAAGGAAAATAAAAAAGCCTGTTTAAAATGCAATTTATTGTGTGTTGAGCTCGGATAGGTTTGCAACAAGGTTCTTTGATATCTGAGTAAATCTTAAGACATGATTATTAGTACTGCCATTAACATTATCATTATTATCACAATTATTACAGTTTATGTCGTCTGCAAAGAGCATATAAAGGACAAAAGGAGTTCTTGTGCCCACTTACTACTATCTACTCTTTATGTTGAATGCAAAATGTAGCTGGGTCTTAAAATAAGCTACATTGTATCGAACTTACGAAGATGGAGCCCCAGTATTCTTGGATAACACCTTTCTCCCAGTGGTGTCCATTCTTTGAATGATAAGATGATCAAGAACCATCTTGCGCTTTGCACGCTCCAATATGTCTTCCTCAATACTGCCTTTAGACACAAGACGATAGATATTGACCTAGTAAAGAAAAGGAGTGATTGGAGTAGATTTTAACTAGAGTATTAACTGTACACTGTAAGTCCACTAGCAATTTTAGAGAAAAATGTCAGCAAAAAGGTTCCAGAAGAATAAACATGTTTAATACTGCATATACCAACAGAAACGAAGTGCAGTAAGACAAGTTTGGGATCAATGAAATGCAACAGCATCAGTCCAGAATTAAAACACATTTGACGGCAAAATTTTCAAAAGAAAAGGTTTCTTATTTGGAAACTAAAACTTGAGGCATTACCATAATTTCAGACATAATTTTTAAACCCTTTCAAACCTAACATCAGTATGTAATTTCTCCATACTGTTCTCCACAGATTTTCTAAAGTGCTGACAAGGAGAATTTATTGAACAATCATGAGCTCCTTTTGTTCATGATAATTTCCTTTTGACCTGAGTATGTGATTTGGGGGGTGATAGAGCAAGAATTTAGAGACCAGTCACTTGTAGAGGTTGAGTATTAATGAAGGAGTTGACGATTAGATGGTTTCTGAAATACACTTCTCCTTTAAGCAGTTTTCATATGTTGAAATCTACCAACCAACCTGATTTCTCTGTCCTATCCTGTGTGCACGAGCCTGGGCTTGCAAGTCATTCTGGGGATTCCAGTCTGAGTCAAAAATGATGACTGTGTCAGCAGTGGCAAGATTAATGCCCAGGCCACCAGCACGAGTGGACAGCAGGAAACAGAAATCCTTGAGGAAAATGACAAAACCAACATCATGTTACGACAGTAATAATTTGCATCACAATATTGGGCAAGATCTACACAGTGTGGCTCGACACTTAAATTTATTTTTAAAAACAAAAATATAGTAGTACTTACAAAGTACTTTCTCATAATAATGATTTTGTTTTGTGGATTTTGCTAACCATGCTCTTATAATTCTAGGAATTGAAGAAAGTGTCCATCACCTGTGGCTTGTAACTGCTATCAGACTTAACACTTACACTGAAGTTTTTTTTTAAACTCTTGTTCTTGGTTGGTGGAATGAGTGAAGTTTTGCACCAAGTAAAAAGAGAGAAACATACCTCAGATCCTTCAGCATTAAAGTGATCCAAAGCCTGTTTTCTTAAATCACCTCTTATTGAGCCATCCAGTCTCTACAATCACAAATTATATATTTTAATAATCATCAAGACACCAGTAATTATTTCAAGCGGAAATCTACAAGAATTCTATCAATAACACTTGATCTGTGCACAACAGCTGATTTAGGCTTTGCCTTCATCAACTACCCTCAGATAGACATCTAAAGACAGTCTTGCTGTTTATTGTAGAACCTGATCCAAACATTATCCCTTAATTGAGGGGTACAAATGATTTTTTTGGAAAAAGAAGTTGTTATCACATACCTGGAATAGAAAACGTCGTTGCTGCAGATACTCAGCTAGAATGTCCAGCATTCGCACCATCTGTGAGAAGATCAGAACTCTGTGGCCTGTCTCCTTTAATCTGCACAACAGCTTGTCCAGTAAAAACAGTTTGCCACTTCCTCTAATCAGGTTCTGAAAAATATGACACAAAATATTAACAGTTATTTTTGATCTGTGTGAAATTCTAAAGGCCACATTACTAGTTAATAATGATGGTAAACATCTTTCAAGTAAACTTACAATGTCCATAACTATAACCTCGCATAAGTGAAGAGGGAGGTAAACAGGAATGAAGCATAGGTGAGAATGCTTGCCTCCCACTGCTGTGGCCTGGGTCAATTCTTTTCCTTGACCTGACAGCAAATGTTGGTCAAGTTTGTTGTTGATTCTCCTTCTTGCTCTGAGGCACCTTGTGGATGTGCCACAGATAAATCTCACTAATATTAATTAGCGTTATTGTTACTTTAAGAGGTAGTAGTACTCTCTGTGGTATTAAGAATTATTGAGATTCAAATTACTGTACCTGCAAAGAATCAGTGGTTGTTTGACTAGTATCTGGTCTGATTAGCTGAGCGTGGTTGCAGCATTTTTTCAGCTCCATCACAATGTTTAGAAAACTGTTTGCATTTCCCTTCAAGCCTTTATTCAATGCTGCAAAGTTTTTTGTTAGGATCCACCTATCAAAACAGAACAAAAAATAAGAACCTACATAAAACTTTGAATCCTTATGGTGCCTAGCATCTAACTTGACTCCACATTACCACCCCTAAATCACACATTAAGGTCATAGGGATAACTGAACTGAACATTAACTAAAGAAGCTCTTGATTGTTGAACAAATTCTCCTTGTCAGCACTTCAACCAATGCATAGATAACAGTACAGAGAATATGTGTATTGCTGCCAGTTTTTTAAGTCTGGTGTCCTTGTATCATGAAGAAAGAAACAACCAAACTTGTATGGGTACATGGAAGAAACATTATTTGGATTAAATTCCATGACAAGAATATGATTTGTTTTTCCTTAATATGCCTGACCAGGGGGAGAAACAGATATGTTTCTTACTCACCTATAATACTGTTTCTGAATTGATGACATTTCAACTCTTAATATTTGTTCCACCTATATTTGTGACAAGGAAGAAAAATGTAAGATTTTTTGTCCATGTAAAAATTTTGCACTGAAAAATCATCACCATCATCTGTGACCATCACCCTAGTTACTGCACAAGACTGAACACCAATATACATACATGTATCTATTACTTTGAATCTGTTTGACATTTTTTCTTTAATAACATAACAAAATAAATCAGGAAGTCCAGCTCTCCACTCTTTGTGACTCTTCTGCTATGTTCATCAGAGTAAAAAATTCAATGCTCATTATTGTCACATTAAAAAAGGTCAATTCTGCACTTGAGTCACTTGGCCCATCCAGCCTGAGCTTATCCCAGTTTCCTTAGCATGAGGTGATTAGGAGTATCACTACACCCCTCTGGATGGGATGCCAATTTCCCCCCTAGCATTTCAAAAGGCCTCCCCGAAAATTTTCCAATACCAATTTATACTCCTGGGTGGATAGAGGCACTGTGAAAGGAAAGTGTTAAGCTTAAGAACACAACACATTGACCCAGCTAGGCCTCCAACAGGACCTCTCCATGCAGACTCCACAGTGCTCTGACCATTAGGCCACATTATAATAAATCAAGAAAAAACTAATTCATTATGTTACATTTTGTAATGAAATCAATTCCTACCTTAGCTGGTAAAGACTTCTCAACATCTTTCTTGACCCTTCTTAAAAGGAAAGGCTCTAATTCTTTGTGTAAAGTAGAAAATCCTATTTCTTTCTCTTCTTGAGTAGCATGCATCTGCTCAAAGTCATCCCATGAGTAAAACCTGCATAACAACAAAAGATATTACTGTCACAATTTATTATTACTAAACACATCCAACTGAACAGCTTTGTTTGCACATGCATTATAATATTTATCTACAGTAAAGAAAATTAACTCTTGATTTTAAGTGAGGTTTTAAGATTTTCAACTTTCACTGTATGAGAGACTGGAAATAAATATCTTAATAAACAAGTTTGAGGTCTGTACTGTAAGTTGCAAACCAAGTATTGTTTGAGGCTTTGTAATTTACAGTACAGACCAAGAGAATGAGGTTGGTAAGATGTTGATCATTTCTTTAGAGAGAGGTTTCAATTAAAACAAACTCATAAGTTCATGGGCTGTACTGTGAAATGTGCCCCCCTAAATTGACCAATTATAGCACACATTCTTCCTGAGAGCTTTAGTAAACTTAACCAAAGAGTGGTGGTAACAACAAGGTCCCAAATAAAAAAAAAATCCATGTTTTAAATTTTCATAGGATCTCAAAATTACAGTTCAGAAAAAAAGACCCATCAAGAATTACCTATTAGGCATGATAAATTGTAGCAAAGCCCACAGTTCTTTCAGAGAGTTCTGCAGTGGGGTGCCTGTTATCAGAATTCTGTGGTTGGTGGTAAATTCCATGAGAGCTTTATACAGAAGAGCATCATCATTCTTTAGTCTGTGAGCCTCGTCCACCACCAAGCAACACCAGTTGATAGTTCCTAATGTTTGCTGAATAAGAATTATCAGGGTTAGCTTTGACTGCTTTATCAACTTCAGAGCACAAATTGAAACAAAGAAACAAACAAACAAACAAACAAACACACAAACAAACAATCATCAATAACAAATTTATACTTTGATTTATCCTGGACTTGTATTGTTCTGTGATGAAATTTAGAACTACTTTTTTTACACACCCTATCTTTCAATAAGATTTCATAGGTTGTCAGAAGTGCATTGAATTTGAGGGACTTGCTGTTGGCACGATACCATTCATATTCACGGATCTGTAAAGACAAAAAGTCAGAAAATTCTCATTAAACTGTAAGTAACCAGCAAACAACCACATCACACAGTGATCCCTTTGATCCTTTTGTGAACTCTTCATGGCACTTCAAGATTTTTGACAGACCCATGCATATATGGAAAGTACACTACTGCAGGTACAATGTATGATACCTTGTCTGACCAAAGTGCAGGACAGGGTTCAGTGGTAAACTGGGATAACTGCCTTGACTCTGGGGGCTAGGACAAAGACAGCCATAACCAACACAATAATAACAAAAAAAAACTCACCTTATTTCTACTTGTTACATCTCCCAGATAAACTACCACATTTATGTCTCTGGCCCATAAGCTAAACTCTCTCTGCCAAGCAGCCATGGTCGACAGTGGAACAACCAACAAGAAAGGTCCATAGAGAGATTGAGCATTATACAAGTAGGAGAGAAAGGAAATGACTTGGATTGTTTTACCAAGTCCCATTTCATCTGCCAGAATCACTGAGTGGCTTCTACACCAAGAGTTAACCAGCCAATTCAGTCCATCAAGTTGATAATCTCTGAGTTGGAGATCTTCATTTCCAAGAAAGGATGGCTGTCTTTTGATGGGAGTAAACTTTGGTCTCTGCCGATTTACTTTTGCACTCTTTCCAGGGATTTTCTCAGAGCGTTGTCGGTTGAGGTAAGAATCAACTTTCAGTTGATAAAATCTGGAAACAAGAGCACCATCTTCCCAAGTGCTCTCAACATAGGGCAAACCCTGCCACTTACAAAGATAGTCCACTTGGTTGACAGTGCCACCATTCACATCAGCACTTTTTACCACAGTGTGAGCTGCAAAAATAAGGTGTATTTTGCATGGTAAACCATAATCAATTTATACAATTACTAACCATTTAGTATTCTACAAGTATTGTATATATTCTTGCACCAATCTGGTCTATAAAAAATGGTGAAATTTTTTATTTGGAGTTCCATCTCAAATTTTCTACCCTTATGAATTTAAACTCAATGAATAGAGTCTCTTTTTACTGTACAAACTTTTACATTCTGAAAAATTACTGTAAGGCTCAAAAGCTATAACTTAAGTCTGACTTTAACAGGTCAATTGTGTACTGACCAATCACATGTAAGTTCAAACCACACAAGGCAACATGGAAACCCAAAGCTGTTTAGTTTTCAGACACCTAATTGGCTTTTTCCTCGACACACAAGACATTCTCTAAATAATTATGGTACTCAGGGTTTTCCTAGTGTCACCAAAAGAGGGTATAAACAGAGAACAAGTGTAAATATTTCCAGTTACATGTATATACTACAGCTCATATCGGAGTAGAAGAAAGAGTTGTTAAGAAAATGTACAAAGCTTTTTACATCACTGATATTCAATTGCTACTAGAAATAACTTGAAATAAAAGTGTTAATTGATGAAATTCATGTACCTATGATCCTTTCAACGTCCTTGTATTCATCCAGGAGATCATAGTTCATTTGCAACTGAATATCAAAATATTCCACGTCCTCTGGAGCAGCAAACTTTTTCCTAAAAAAAGGAATTAAATCAATATGAAAGTGTTACCTCTGAGTGTGATTGTGCTCAGCTAAGTATAGCTCTGTTGTGATCAATCTTCCAGAATAGATCTACCACAAGAAAATACAGCATAGCCATCGTGAGTTCTTAAAGCTCCCTATAAACAGCAGAATTCTTACCAGGTTGCAATTTCTTCATCTTTTTTAATGAAGTTGCTTAATTTTTTCATTCCTTTCACATTCTGATCAGTAAGGCTCTTCTCAGTTTCCCATGTGTTATGCAGATGTGACCAACCTTTCCACTTTATCAGGTATTGGATCTCGTTGGGTTCTCCATGGAAAGGTTCCCCATGCTTCTGCATTTCTTCATACTCTGGTGCATAGACTGTAGTCATGGCTCCAATCTCCCCTGGTCGGCCAACACGACTGATGAGGACTCTCTCAATGCATTCTCTGTCGTCTTCAACATACTCTCCTGTGGTGTCATAATTTGCCTCAACCAGATCATCAGAGTCAGTTCCATCTTCACTCTCTTCTTTATAGCTGTTACAATTGAAAACAAAAAAATTATACAAAAAGCATGGAACTACTGCATAATACCAAACATACCTGTAAATTACGGAACGTATAGTACAGCATTATGAACTTTGAGAAAAGTTGTACAAGTTTGTGTATTAATTCCTGAATGCTATTTCCTAATTCATAAACAAATATAATGGACATCACATTTTAAATACTATAAACTTATAGGAATTTTTTTCTGTAGAGAGGCTATGGTGCACTGCTCAAAATTAAGTATTGCTGTTACTTACCTTGAAATTGTTACTGCAGCCCTTCTTACAGAGTTTCTATTACTCTCATCATCATCATCATCATCATCATTTTCATCACCTTCATCTGATTCTTCACTCTCAAGTTTCTTCACCCTACTGGGTGCTTTTTGTGGTGAGGGTTCATGTACACTAACTTTCTTTCGAGGTGCAAGATCTTTTGGCTTGGGCACTATTGGTGGTACCCTTGCATTTGGACGTGGCACAGGTCTAGGTCTGTTTCTAACCTCAAGATCAGGAGTGTAGTTGTCACTGCTTTCACTGTCACTTCCCTGACCATCAACCACCGACCAGTCTTCACTAAAAGAAAGAGGTAACCTGGCAGTTTAGAACAGGTACAGATCAAACATACAAGGAGGGTGAAAAAAAGGAAGGGGGGAGCAGAGAAACTTCACATATATGGAGCTGATGAGGTTATAAATCCTTTACACTCTAACATCAGAATGTATATTCTCCATACTGTTTTCTTTACATTTCCTGAGGTGCTGATAAGGAGAATTTTGTGACCTTAATGTGTGAATATTGTAAGGAGAAATTAGATGCTTGTCACTCCTGGGAGTCACAAGGTTAAATGTCTTTTAAATGTCAATAAAAAGTTGAACAATACTCCTTTATTTACTTTTAGTTTACTTTGTCTGCAATGGATGCCTGGATAATTCAGGTCCTAGGACTTGGAAAGAAAACCAACCACCATCCTGTAACTAATTCCCACTTGATCAAACACACTATCCAAAGTTTAAGCTTGTTCACCATTGACTTTTCTTGGTTCCTAATGATATTCACGTCAGCTCTGAGTTACCCTTAACTATATGTGTATTTCTGATTTCATTTAGTTTTGAGTTTTTAGACTCTTGTCTGAAAAGTGGGGGGCGTAACTAAATTAACAAGTTTCCTCCAACCTTGCTGATGAAATTCTTCTTCCTTTCCTTCCCTTTGGTTTTAGTTTCTTTGTTCTGAGTACTCCCTCATTCTTCTCTTCATCCTCACTTCCTGATCCCTGGAGATAAAAAAAATTATGGAAACTTTATCCCATTACAAGATTTAATGATTTTGAACAACTTTCAAAAAGAACAAGCAAACTACAGTTAAAAAGGCCATCTGGGATAAAAGATGGATGCTTAGTGAACATATCACCTTTGTATCACACCATAGTACACCTATCACTAATTAAATGTTTGGGGAGTCAAAAGTATAAGTTTTTCCAAGAGGACCTGATAAATCTCAAAAATCAAGCCCAAAGATTTCTAAAGATGTTAAAAAAAATGTCTACAGACATGCCAATAATTCTGGCACAACTTCCTCTCCAGTGTTCTCCCTTCTAAGGCTGAGGGTTTATCAAGGCATATGAGTTGGTAGATTTACTCTGTAAATTTAAAAACTGGGGGATTTTCTCTTGCATTGGCTTCAGATCTGAATCAAAACCTCAAAGGTGCCACACACCATACCAATATACATGCTATTTTCCTAAAAAGGTAAGCATAATGATACTTATTTCATAAGGGACATTCCGGAAGAATATCAGAGAGAGTATAGATACATTAACATGAATGATGTTAAGTCTTGATAACGGCCACAGTACCTCTTGAGCTACAGTAAATCTTTCTGGTTCCTTTCTTGATCTTCCAGATCTTCTGACTCCATATGTTTCTGGATCCTCTTCCCAAAACTAATTTAACCATCAGAATACCAATACTTTAAACTTAAATTAGAAACTAATTATTGCTAATATCACTGAAATGTCAGTACAGAAAAATACTAGTATATTAGAACAAAGATTTTACTGATCTCTAATTGCCTTCAGAGAGTGGGATATAATGCTTCTTAACACTTTACACCCAAACGCATCAGTATGCATCTTCTCCATACTGCTCTCTACACATTTCCTAAGGTTCAGACAAGGAGAGTTTGTCTAACAATTAAGAGCTTCTTTAGTTCGTGATCATTTTCTCTATTCTCAAGATTGTAATGTTTGATTCAAGTGTGATTTTGTATGCATCTGGTTGAAAGCAGTTTCTTTAAATAAACAGGACTTGATGCAGAATTCAGTCTCCCATGGCAGGGCGTGAAATTAACTTTTTTTTCTGATAGCCACTTGACTCCTGAATTCTTCAAAGTGGTAGCCAATTCAAAAAAAGTTGGTTGCCATTTTCAAAGACAAACAAAATCTTCCTTTACGCTGTCAGCATTCTAGATAGACCCTCCAAAATTAAGTTAGGGAAAAGATCTTTAACGTGCTACAAAGTGGACACTAGGATGTATGATATACAACCTTCAGGCTCATCTAAATCCAAGATGGCGTCTAGTTATCGATCGAGATACATGTGCTACGTTTTGGAAACAAACTAAACGAGGAAGTTTGCCGCAGATTTATCTTTGCAAATTTATTTAATTCACTATATCTCTTGGTAAGGTTATGATGAAACGTTGTAGTCGCCAATTTGGCGACTAACTTTCAGGATTTGGTCGCCAAAGTGAAAAATTTAGTCGCATTGGCGCCTGTATTAGGCGCAATTTCACGCCCTGCATGGTCAAGATTTTCCTTAACCTTTCCATTCCCAAGATGCTAGCCACTTATTGGAGTAAAAGAGCTAACTAAATCTCTGACAAATACACTGTAAAATTGTAATTTTACTTTTTTTGTATCCAGCTGCTCTCACCTAACCCCTAAGAGTGACCAGCCTCCAATATCTTCTTACAGTATCACTGCTTAATTAAACATTAAGGTCTGGAGAATTAACAAATAATAACCAACTGAAGAAGCTTGATTGTGAGACAAATTACCCTTGTCCATTCTATAGCAAATATATAGGGAAAATTATGGAGGATGTGCATTTTGATGTCAGGGTAGGAGTGGAAAAAGTTGTGGTCATTGAGTTGCAATATCCTGGCCTCAAAAAAATTGAAGGTTTTACTGCAATTATACATATGCGGCTTTGAGAGAAGTACCCTGTCACTAACACAAATCTTTCAATCATTGTTAGCCGTTAAACTTAAGACCTGATTGTTAACTCTCCCCTCTAACTGCAAAAAATTTCCTTATAAATAAATTATGAGAATTTGGCATTAGATCGAGGTAACCTCTTAACCTGATAAGTTTGAGTATTCTGATTACCTGTGTCTGGGACAATGTATGAATGTTACAGGGATTTTTGAAAGTTAAAAGGTCAACTGCAAGTGTCAAAAAATACTATGGAGTTATAAGGCCATGTAGATACATACCCTTTCATCAAACTTCTTCTTCTGTGTTGGTGTGGTTGGATTATTGTTTACAGTGTGATGTAAATCACCAGGTGAAGACATCTGATAATGTGACAATGGAGGAGGTGGCCGTCTTGGTGCAACATTCTGTTCATTTCCCTCATCGTCAGAATCTGATTCCGACTGGCTGCTGTCAGAACCTTCCGAGTTAGATTCACTGTCTTGTCTGATAAAGATTAGGTAGACGACAATCATGGATGCAATATTTTGTTTCAAGGGAGGGAGAGGAGGCTTAATGGGAACTTGAAGCTCTAGAAAGGGGTTTATTATTAAATAAGAGATCTCTTCACCCTTTAACTCTTATGAGTGACCAAGGCAGAATTTCTCCTTACAATCTCTATACAATATTGACCAGATAAGTGATGAGAATAAAGAAAAAGATCAATTTGGGAATAATTGGTTGATCCAATACTAATTCTTTGACTAACAATAGAAGAATTGTATGGTTGACAGTAAGGAGAATTACAAATTTGATCTGGGAGTTAAAGGGTTAGCCCATTCACCTACTAGAGTGACCAAAAAAACATTTCTCCCTACAATAGTGATAAATTTTTCCATAAAGGGGTCACAAGAAAAATGAATGGAATAAAGTGCAGTGAATTTATCTTTTGATCTTAGGAATTAGAGGGTTGTCAGCAATCATGGCAGATACTCCTATGACCACAAAGGGATTTTAGCCCTGTATTGGCTTTGAGAAAACATTTCAGTTCTCTCCAAACTGTTTGAGATACATGAATAAAGGGGGTAAGTTTCTAAAGAAACTGTGGTGCTGCATCAGTTGGAGAGTATAAAAGGGGAATTTAGTATTATCCCCTGAGCTGGTAATGTAAATTGGACACTGCAGAGTTTCAAAGCTGAAAAAACTCTTCAAACTCTTTAAAATTTACGCTATCAACTCAGTTGTTACTACTAATTTATCCTGCCATTTGAGATACATCTGTATCTCATAACTTGTAATGTTAGACTTGTATGCTGCAAATTATTTTTTGTAGATCTGTTGTATGGCCTTGAACACAAGTTTCTCATACCTTCACACTAAACAAAGTTGAAGAAACCAAAATACTCGTGATTTGACATAATCGACCTGACATGCCCGAGGTAAAGTGGAGCTTAAGTTTTGGATTGGGAGGACAAAGCATGCATCTGGTTGAAAGCAGTTTCTGCTGTGGGTTGTTTGTAGACTCTTTAAATAAACAGGACTTGATGCAGAATTCAGTCTCTCATGGTCAAGATTTTCCTTAACCTTTCCATTCCCAAGATCTCACTAGTAATTCTCTCTACTGTCTTCCATACAATTCTCACAATGTTAATTCAGAGAATTTGGTATTGAATCAACCAGTTATCCCTGATATATATTTTTCTTTATTCTCATCACTTGTCTGCTTGATATCATATTGGTTTTGTAAGGAGAAATTCTGCCTTGGTCACTTAAGGGGGTTAAAGGGTTTAAGTTCCTTGCAGTTCTCAAAGTAGAACCTTACCTCAAATATCAAATGTAATGTTCAATTTATTAACTGATTCTGTCATTGGGTAGAGGAGCTGTTAGGTGCAGTATACATGTATATAAGATAATTGACTTTCCTTGTTAATTATTGATAGCAGAAGGTTCTGTAACTGATGTGAAGCACTGGATAAATGTTTTCCAAGAAGATAGTTATACAAGAAACAGGTGACAAGAAAAATAATTGTTGTAATGATGATTTTTAGCACATCTCTCAATGACAACATGTCAATTCAAAATTCATCTCTGAAGAAAAAACTGAGATTACTAGCTCTCTCTCTCTCTTTTTTTTTTTAGGAACACTAAGAAGTTCTGGCCATTCTCCATCACTTTTATGTCCAATTACAACACTGCCTAAGCATGGGAGCTACATGTAAACAAGCCCTAGAAAAAAACTTTTTCAACTACAGGGACTCATTTCTCAAAAATATTCATTTGGCAACTCTGTAGGCATTGAGTAATATAATATCTTACTGTAAAAAAATAATAATACATGCCTTAGCTCAAACACCAGTCCATCCTGATTATTCTAGTATTTTCATTGGTTAAGTAGCCAAACTATACATTTTCTGATGAAAGAAACTCAGAAAAGAAAAATGACAGCCCCCCTATGTTTCCCTATCTTTCAGGAATAAAGTCCCAGGTCAGAGGATACAGATTTAAGCCCTTGAAGCAGTCATCCTGTAACATGAGACTATCTCCTGACCATGCCTCTCTCAGTACTTAACAGTGTGAATGTCTGACTGAGGAACAGTTAAAAATTCTGTAATTTATGCACAGGGGTAAGCAACAATAGAATTGCATCTTATCCAGGGAAGAGTAGTGATATTTAAATTGTTATAAACATAAAATTACAGGCAGTTACAGCTGGTTTGTGCCATGAAAGGTCATTGCATAGAAAAAGTTATACTCTTGTGTGGATGGAGAATATCAACCACACTGTTGGCAACTAGTATGTGATGATCTTTGCAAGAATTAATTTCCTGAGAGGCTTACTCTATTATCTCTGAAGACACACAAAGGCTGACAAAAGATCGTGCATGATTTCAATTAAAAATGCATTAACAAGCCTGTATGAAAGTGGCGACATTTCCCAAGCATTCTTAAACAAATCTCGTACTCTTACAGCTTGGTATCTTTGTGTTCCATTCTTTCAGGTCATGTTTAACAAAAAGGAACCCTTAATATAACTTAAAAGGAGTACATGATGGTAAAGAAGCAATATCTACTAACCCTGTGTGAATTTTATAACTTTTATTTTCAAGACAATAATCATTCCTGCCTATGGCCATGTCAGTTGCATGTATGCTCATCATGAAAAGGTTCAAAGAAATAAACTAAAGATCTGTTGCTGTACAAAATATCTAAGACTGTGATTTGTACACAAGTGGTTTGTTTTGTAACACACCACCACACGAGGTAAAGCAAGGATAAGTTTCTAAGTTAAGCAGTTACTTGATTGTGTTCACAGTATTGAGCTCTCTTTTCTCAGATAATAAAATTGTCCAGGTTGCTGAAGTCATAATCATTGTTGTGGGAAAGTGTGATGAAGAAAGATGCTGTTTCCTTGTAAAGTAACTCAGAATCATCAGATCACACATTGTACTTCAGTGGAAACTGATGGAAAATCAAAATTATTCCATAAGCAGTACACTGCTTAACTACTACACTTCGTATGATTTATGATTTGTCAATATTACTCCATAATAAATTCATTCTGTTCAGGGGGTTTTAGAGAATTTTAATCTGGTCAGAAACCTCTATGCTGGAGTCTTTAAAGTTTTTTTCCCCTTCCTCAGAATCTGAAACCCTCTATAGCCAGTCAGTATAGTGTAAGATTTATTTTAAATTTTTCAATGCTTTAGTCTGTGTAATTTTGAAAGAATTGAAAGAAAGAGTGGAAAAGAACTGAAAAGTATTTAAGTTCATATTGAATTCATAAGAATTTGATTTTCTACAATTATCAACTATGGTCTTTCCCTTTTGAATTTGGTCTAAGAGGTTTTTAGGCTTCATGTTTTCTAAACTTCTGGCAGTTAGGAAGTCTGTCTTGAAAAAATATTTTTCAGCTAAGTGCGATTCAATCTAAAGGTTTCAAAACCCTTGAGGAGGCCAAGCAGATTACCCTCCCAAACAGGCAGTTAGTAGGATTCTCTTTCCCTTTGTACTGGTAAGAGCCCTACACCATCCATAATTAGTTCCAATCTGATAAACCATGCTGTTTTTTAAATTCTTTTCAGTTCCAAGGCTTGAAATAAAATTTTACTTTCAATCAATCCTATAGTTCTATCAAACACAGTAATTATGTAATTGATTTAACCTGGGATAAATACTCAATAGTTTTCAGATTTGCATCTGTTCATCATTTTCCACTTTGACCCCTGTTACACATGACCTGGGTTTCAGTTGATGCCATTCCTACTATTAACCTCTTCACTTTTCTGTCGCACTAGATAACTTTGTGTTTTGATCATAACCAGTCAAATCAAATCAAATTACAATGCAACTTATAGATCACAGAACAAAAGTGAGCACTAAAATTTAGGATGACTTCAAAAAGTAGGTTTTAACCATGTAAAACATCACATTTAAAATCAAAATCTTCAAAGTGAACAGACTAGGCTGTAATAACTCTGCTGAAAACTTTCTCACAATATTCCAAAATTGCTTGTGAAAGAAAAATATAAAAACAGTAAACCTGATAACAAGATTAAATCTGTTTTAAGTCACCTAGGACAATCCAACTTAAATGAAAAGAGCTACTCCATAGAAAGCTTCCCAAACAAACTGATTCAGATCTCATAATAATGAAAAAGTCATTGATGACTTTTATTCATCAATTGCTTTAGATCAAGATACTTGTCCATTTTTTAGTGAATTTCTAACTACTCAAATCTATGCTGACTACAAATTCTTCAAATTTCAGTTATTCAGAGATTATCATTCAGTGTATCCATGTTCAAAACACACAAAGTTCAAAAAGCTGAAACAACATGATGCCTAACATCTTCACAGAAAACAAAAATTTGTTTCCATAACATAATCTCCAACCATTACTGCTTAAATTGACCCATCAACTAGCTACAGAAGAAAATATTCCTCTGATGAATTTGTATTTTGCTCCTCTAGAGAGATCTCTGTTCATTGATTGAATATGGCTCAAAAGAGAAAAGGATACGAGAATTCATGCATGTTCCTTGATCAATTTCGGCAATGACAATAACATCATAGGCACATAAAGGATTTCAGTAATTCCTCGATAATAAATCGCCATAGAATTACACAACATATGCTATCTACTGGAAGAGAAGTAAATCCCAAACCAGCAAGTGCTACTTTTAAAACACAAAACAAGTGGATTTTAGGAGACATCCCTCCTCATCGAGTGCACTTGGGAATCACCCACTGGAAACAGACATTCAACCATGATATCAACATGATGAAACAAACATGTCCTACTCGATGCTTTCTTGTCACGAGTAAGTAATATTTGTGAAATGATAAAAATCGTTCTATAAAAAAAAACAAACAAACCAGGAATGGAGAGGAAAAATTCAGCTTCAAAGAGAAGAAGGATTTAGTTACCTTCGGCAGATCATTTCCTCTGCTGTTTGTTTCAAAAATCTGAGAGAGCGATGGAACAACCCGACGAAAAAAATTCAACATGAAACTTAAAGACAACTTATAACAAACAGGGCGTTGTTTCTAACACGTACATGTATTTCAGACAGAAAATTTCGTGCGACGTTCTGTTTTCATCTTATGTTAAAAGGAGGCAAAAGAGAAAGGGAAAGGTTTTCGCTGGGGTTAATGAAGATTACCATACCGTTTCTTAACTGAAAATACGTCAAAATCATGGCCACTCGATGTTCTGTGTGCGACACGCAACGCATCGATAGCAAAGAAATTGTATTGTTACGTTGTTACCACGCAAGTTCTTTCCTTCTCGTTCGTTTGGCACAGAAATCTACTCTTTCTTCCCTTCACACCAGTGTTCAATCATTCAATTACAGAACCTTCGCGCGATCTGGGATACATACATGCACGTTTCGATCAAAAAGACAAAGAAAATATGGCGTCCAAAGTGTGGGATAATTTGCAAGAGGAATTTACCTCGTTGTCTGTTCGTGACCAAAGAATGAAACGGCGGTTGTTCCATGAAGGCTTCCGATATGGCCTACAGAAATGGACGACGGCTGAAAATGGTGGGTAAAATGTTCTCCAAACATCACTGGTCTCTTTCTTTCGTCTACACTTGAGAGAATATCGACTTCTTCGTCGCTATCTGAATCATTATCCGCCATTTAGTTCGCTGTGGAATAGTCGAAGCAGCTTTGTCCAGTAAACTCGCTTCAAAGACACCGCTTGATTCGAGGGCTGTACCCATGTTAGAAAATGGGGGCTGAGATTGGCAAAGAACTAAAGGAGAGCGAAAAGCCTCCGAAAACCGTTTAAAATGGAAAGCAAGATCTATTCGAAGAGAGAAGGGTCACAAGACTAATCTCTTAACCACGTGTTTCGATGTGAAAGAAACCACGGCTGAAAGGAACCAAAATTGTTCAAAAAGGGGGTAATGGGGCCAGGGAATACCCATGCGATGCGTCGACCATCGAAGGAGCGAAAATACATCGAAATCAAACATTCGGCAAGAAAGCTAAAACTACAGGCAACAACAGATGTTTCCTTGTCACATACCGCGTGCTTCACGAATGAAGGAATCCACAGAAAGAGATCGGGAACTGTAAAGGCGATTTCCCCCCACAAAAAGGCGTCGATAAAGGCTTGAAGAAGCAGAAAATATGGCTACCAAACCCTTCGAACGAAGAATGAACTAAAAAGCCCAACAAAATTACGGCAAATCCATGCCACTTCAGGGCCCCTCTACACTACCAGGACTTAACTTAAACAACACAGAAACTTGATAGAGTAAAACATTTATATAAAAACGTCATCAACAGCGCAAAAATAAGAATTTATCACGAGCAAATGGCTTACTTTGTTCCCTCTCTGACTCCATCTTGGTAAACGTGCCGCTCCCTTCTCGCTGCTGGTCTTTGTCTGGTGACGCAATGCACTCTGGGCTGCTATCCATTTGCGCATGTCCTGAGGAGTCAAGTATCTCCTCAGCCAATCACGTAAAGCGTTTCTGTTATTGTTCCCATTTTCATTTCGACCCGTCTGTTTAGTTTCAGTATTTCGTACCCTCCTTTTATTAATAAGGGTCCTCAGTGGCATGGCCACCAATCTTGTCAAGGGTAAAACTTTGTTATATAAACTAACGATAAAAACGATAAAAAGGAACTACATTTCGATATGTTCGAGGTCATTTTTATGTTCTAGTAAATAAAAGATAAAATTGGAATATAAATGTCTTAGTTAAAAAAAGAAAAGAAAAGAAAAGAAACGGGATGAGAATGGAAAAAGCATGTGATCAAAGGCATAATTATTCATTTGTTTAATTTCGTGTGGATTGAGAAACAATGTTTGTTAATAATATTGATCTCAGTTCCTTAATAAAAAGAATTTTAAAAGTGAGACAATCAAGTTTGCTCTGGCATTTTCTAAAAGATGTGAAACTTCGTAGCCGGAATTTATCGGGGTCCATGTCATTCTCCCCACTGAGATGGTCTTAAATCAAGGGTAAAATTATAAAAGAAAAAAAAAAAGAATGGATACATTTCACGACAAACCATCCTTCATCGGTCAAAGGCAAGGTGCCTCTTTGATACACTGCTCATGGCATATTTATTTCCTTTCTTCAGGGAAAACACCATGTATATAGAATAACACACTTAGGGTAACTAAAACTTTCAGCTAAACTCTTTGATAATTTTATGACTAGACGAATATAAAAATATTCCCCTTACTCTTTCTACCTCAGCACAGTACGGTGGTTCGCAGGCTTTAGTAGACTCTTTTTGAATGATGATGTTAACTTTCACAAGGAAGAGGTTTATAATAGGAGAGGGATTTTAAAAGATAAGGCATAGATATGGTTTCTGTAATGCATTATTTGAAAGGGTTTAGGGGTTGATTGTTCCACTACTTCCGGTATTTTAAGGAGTTTTTCTATAGAAAATTTGTTTAGATCTCTCATTTATTTGCAAAAAGCACTTCAGTAGTAAGAGGAATCCGAAAAAAAAATTTCTTAGAATTTTCGCTAGAAGACATTCTTTGTCTGGGTCACATTTGCGAAGTCGTGACTTAAGGGCAAAAACAAATCAGAAAAATCGAGATAGAGAAAAGATCCGGTTTCTTTTTTTTGTATGTTCTTATGTCTATATTGTTATGTTACAGTTACATTATTTTGTCAACCCACGATCAGGCGTGCACTATGATAACATTAGGGCACGCGCGACTAAACGACGGGTCTGAAGACTAGACCCCTCACAGACCTCTCGCACGCTCACATCGCTCGCTGACTTGAGCCTCTCGTTTGGCAGAATGCTCATAGCCTATTACTATGTCTCCAAGATGACAGGTTGTGTCGAAGAAATCAGATCGGTTGATGATGTTTAAACAAACCACCTTTTCATTAATAAATTGTTCGCAGTTTTGAATTGTAAGGTATACCATGGTAATGCATGTTGGTTTATTTTCCAAATTCGAGTCCGTCTTAGAAAACTAACTCAAATTTCAGCTTGCGAGCAAGTTCTCATTGGCGCTTAAATCGCTAGCCTACGTGTAGCCGTACCCTCCCCCCCCCCCATCAATATGAAGCGAGGGAACGTCTTTAATCGAGTTCTGTGACGTACTCTAATTTATGCAAAATTATGTAACTTGTTGTTCTCACGCTTCCGTTTCACCTTGCGGGGGAGGGTACGGCTATACGTAGCCTATCACATCTCCCGCGGGCCCCAAACACGAAGACCTCTTCGCACATGCGCAGCGTCAATGGGAACGTTTTTGCAAGCTGAAGTACTTAAATTTGTGCCCCGATTATCAGTAACCCGTGACAATGAGAACATTTTACGTCGAGCAACATTTACGAAGTTAAAGTTTAATGCAACTACAGTTAAGATTATGAGACCATTTATAGATATTTACAAAATCGTTATACGTGTTGCAGGATGCTTTTTACGTTTACTTCTATATTACATAATTTTCTCGAGTCACCTATCACTTCAAGCGGGACCCACAATGAATATGACAACGATGATACGTGCCGCTCAATAGCTCATTCAGTCAGAACTTCACTGAAAATGAAAATTTTCCTTCTCCATGCTTATTCCTGTTATTTTTCCCGCTTTTAATTCCTCGATGAGAAAACTTGAGGCTCTACTGTCAAGGTTGAACATTCTCTAACTCACTACATCGTTATCAGTGCCACTGACGGGAGGCTCGCACGGTCTTCCTCTGTCAGTCCCTCCATTCTAGGGAATCTGGAGTTTATTCAAAAAGTACAAAGATCGTTAGATAAGATGGAGCTTCTGTGGAATTTAATGAAAATAAAATTAAAAAATTGGTGTGTATGTTTGCAAGCAACTAACATAACATGCTTCCTCACTTTGAATGCCAGGTAAGCAAATAAATTTGTTTTCGAAATGATCTAAACGGCATTTGTTGATCATCTTTATATAAATTAAAGTGATCTACTGCCAGAAGAAAATTGCACACCTCGTTGGAAAGGCGTAAAGATACTAAATCGACCTTTGTGTCAGGGGGCGTCCAGTTAAAAGTGAGCCAGTGTTGCTCGGCTGAGAGATTATGACAAGGTCCAACACTTACCAGGTATATATGTGTAAAGGCCGCTACCGCCATTACCATTATCACCATCTTCCACATGATCATCATCATCATCGTCATCGTCATCGTCATCGTCATCGTCATCGTCATCGTCATCGTCATCGTCATCGTCATCGTCATCGTCATCGTCATCGTCATCGTCATCGTCATCGTCATCGTCATCGTCATCGTCATCGTCATCGTCATCGTCATCGTCATCGTCATCGTCATCGTCATCATCATCGTCATCATCATCGTCATCGTC